TTTTTATTTCTGAAAGCTTTATACTGCTGTTCAAATCTTTCCCTTTAATTTATTTATCAAGTCCTTTTCATATTTTCTTTTAATTTTAATAAATGAATTAATACAGTGTATGGCATAATGAATATGTAATAAAGAATGGAATATTTACAATAATTTATTTACACATACAGACATAAAGACATTCATACTGATGAAGAATTACATTTTTACAATAATTGATTTACACATACAGACATAATGATGAAGAATAAAATTTTTACAATAATTAATTTAAACATAGACATAATGATGAGGAATGAAATTTTTGCAATAATTAAACATATTTAGACATTCTGATGAAGAATAACATTTTTAAAATAATTAATTTACACATACAGACATAATGATGAAGAATTTTTGCAATAATTAAATATATTTAGACATTCTGATGAAGAATAACATTTTTTCAATAATTAGTTTACACATATAAACATGCTGATATAAAACTAGGCATTCAATATCTACAAATAAACTAAGTGTTTTTTTAATTGAATTATGCAATGTAAAACTCTCATTTATGTACTGTGTCTCTGCACACATTTTTTGTGTCACTTTTTCTAAACACATTTAAATTTCTATTGCTGCTCAACCTATGGTGTCCAAACCAACCTGGAACAATAAAAAAAACACATTAAAACAAAAGACACTGAATAATAAATGTTGTACAAATGCATTTTTTATATTGACATGAATTACATAAATATTCAACCTACATGTACATGTATTCCCATTACTTATTTCAATTGCTTTGGCTTGTCTTTAAAGTAAACATTATCTTTGAATTGTAAATTTATTGTAGATATATTATTTCAGGTACTTTTTAAACTAAATTACTTTATTTTTTGGCTAAATGATACCAGTATATGATAGTTTAAAAAATGTTTATTATGATAGCAAAATTTGAAACAAAATTTCTTCAAACGACCCTTTGAATAAAGAGTCTAAATTTGTACTTTAAAAACAAGAAAAGAGCATTAAATGATTGTTCTTACTATGTTAAATGGTAGTTGAGTGTGTATCTAGTGTATCCAGATAAATGCTAAGCTCAGTGAAATTTTATTCCCATCTTAATGTTACTTAACATGCTAAAATTTGGAGACCCCTCCCCTTACAGAATACTTCTTATTGATGAGGACTTTGTGTTTCAGAATATCTTTCTCTGTCTTGGAAACATCCATCGCGTTCACAATTAATTCTCTTTTGTGTCTGATTTCTGAAGTCAATTTGTTATTGTTGAACAGTCATGTTTGATTTAAAATGGAAAAGTTATCAATCCTCTACGCAAGATTTTTTTTTCTTTTGAATCTGCAAGATTTTTTTTCTTTTGAATCTAATCATCAGAAATTAACCATTTTTCAGAAGTAATTTGCAGTTTTTATCATTGTTTGAATTTCTAACTTACCGTTCGTATTTTTGCTCCTGGGGCATCTATTAGCGCAAGTAATGTGCCGTCCTTGCTCTCGATTTACAGACACAGTGAAGCGGGTAAATATAGATTTTCTTCTGTATCCCGTTTTCCGAAATGTATTTAACTTGTGGTGTAACGGAATATTGACATTGACTATCTCGATGAATGTCAACACCATTAGTAGGTAAGGGCACTGAGTCTTTTACAAACTTTTGCAAAATTTCTTTACATCGGGCACCGTTATATTTGCCGCAATTACAATTTCTAAAATGGACGGCAAAGCTTCCGACAACAACAGAACCTTTCATGTAGCTGCCATTTTTCATAACTGGATGGCACATATTGCTATAGTGTTCCTCTCCCTCGACACCGTCACTTATGCTTATTAATTCGTCTTCTGTTATATCGTTCCAGCTCATCTTGGCAATTTAGACAAGTTCAAAGTAATTGAATTTTGCTTTTTGTTCTTTTTATACTACTGTGGCTATTTTTCTTGGGAAATTTATGATGTAATTTAGGTCAAATATAGGCTCCTGTTGGAATTTTCTTGTTCTTAAAATAGAGCTTATCGAAGGTGCTTCACACGTGGTGTCTCTACAGTCATGCGTGAGCTTCGACGGCGTGGCTTTTGTAATCGATATACAGATGTACACAATTTCTGCTGTTTTATTGAGTTTAAATTAAGCAAAGCACATATGGAGTTCTCTCGAAGGGGTACAATTACAACACTATCTGATTTCCCCATCAAACCAACTGTTTTTATATGGAAAATTTGTACATATAGAGGTGTTTTTATTTAGTTTGGAAAGAAATAATATTATGAACGTATTTAGTTTATTAAAGAATACAACTGATTACTTAAAAATTCATTTTCTCTTTACATCTGAACAAAGTAATACACATCGTTTTACCTATGGTGAATATAAGCTATATGACACTTGACGTTTAAATCACAGGCATACAATGGACACATTGTTCAGACATGATATCTGATAATGATAAGTATGTTTAGACTTGTTTTTAAAATCTTTTGTGGTTAAAGTATAAGTTTTGTTGATCATTATTTATTTGATACGAGGTATTTGTTCGTTTAAAAATATATATTTAACATCATGCTTACACACCAAACCATTTTCAAGTAAGAATAAATTGATTGAAATCTTTTACCACACTTTAATGAAGGCAATCCTTAAACATGTTCCTAAGACACAAATACACAAGCTTCCATAATAAAGAAAAAATAAATCACACTTTAATTGTTTTAAATTGAATGAAAAAGTTGTGCACTGTTGACAACAAAAAAAAAAATGCGCAACGAGTTTGAATTATATGTCGTTATTAAATCCAGTACCTCTTGGAAAATAGTTCAAATTCTTTAACAAAATAACCAGTTTAAACATGGAGGCATTTTCTGTCAAATAAATGGATATTATTCCGTCTTTTTCTCAAAACGTTGGAAGCTAATGACTCCAAACTGTTCAAGTAAGTTCCGGTTAATCATCTGTTAGCTCCTCTACTTGCAATTTCTCCACAGTAGCACTTCACATGTATTATGTACACCGTGTGTACTTGTCGTTCCTTAATTACTGTAAACGAACACTCTTCTTTACTGTGTATCTCTATTCCGCTAAGTCCAACATGGCTCTCTGGTAACACTTTATCATCTTTAGCCTTTTTATACTCTGGTGATCTATCAGGTAAATTGCTGCCACATTTGCACTTTCTATAAAATACCTTGTATTTTTTCTGCCCTTTTATTTTTGGAATTCTTAAAACCTTTATTTTACAATCACTTTTGTAGTGATAGTCACTATATTCTTTCTTAGTGTCTTCTGTATCAACAAAGTCCGCCATATTATGATCTTTTAATTCAGAAAAAGCAACTGGAACATGTGAATGATAGCTCGACGTTATTATACTTTTAGCTACTAAGAAATGCGCATGCGTCAACTGGCGTTTAAAATACAGACCGTGGATTTTTCCAATGTTTTATCAGTAGATTCAGATACTGAAGTGATTCTCTCCATTTCAACTTCAGTACTACTATTGAGTATTCACAGAGTACACATGAAACGAAATTTTGGTTTATACAAAAATAGGCAACCTCGTGTTTGTGAATGGTTTATTATGTCAGACTCAGAGATACATTTTTCGCTTTGAGACATTAGATTTCCTACTTCCTGAAAAGACAATCGATTTCAACATACCTGTCTTACACAAAATTCAATGTACGCACACCACTACGTTTATCTCGATAAAAATATTTAAATACAACTCCTCGAGTTACGTGAACATGTAGGGAGAGTAGCTGATTTTTCTCAAATAAGTGAGTATATTTTACACTTAAAATTTAACGGACCATATTTCTCCTTGCTGTTGCCTTACAGCTGCATTGTAGTTGAAATTTTTTCACCTGTCCTCCGTTCCCCCACTGTGTTTGATAAACGTATTTGCAGTCTGGAATTTGATGTATGTCTATACCGTCCTCGTTTAATTGGGTGTGCGGTAATGAGGAATGTTCGGGGGTCCTGTCAAATTCTCTTGATTTATCTTGATATCCATAATTACAGTTACAGTGTCTGTAGTACACGTAATATATTTCTCCATTATAATATAAGGCACGACGTGTACAGTGGCAGGTCAGATCATGAATTTCTCCCTCCATGGTTTGTTTAGATAAAATCGGTTTAGCTTGTAAACTATCCATGAAGTCATTGTATTCATACTCTGCCATCTTGGAACTATCAACTAGGTCTGAATCAGTAGTTACTATTTAGGGTTTTTATAGTGGATTGATATATAAGCGCATGCGCAATAATTCATAGAAAAGAAGTATATATTACTAGTAATCTATGTTATTTGTTGTGTATGTTGTGATATTACTAATTGCAGAGAAACGGTTCCGGTTTTACATTTACCAATACTTTGTTATTCTAGGTAATGACTGTTCAAAAAATGACAGTTACTATATGGATTCTTTAATGATATGTCACATCTCCCATAATATGTTTTAAGGACATACGCAACATACTGAGTAGTTTTAATTTTATTGTCATTTTCCCTGGAGTTGAAGAGTTCCAATACGCAAAGGAACTGTGTGCTACATTTTAATGTCTATATATGTTGTGGTACATTTCTTCTACAACAAGTTTAGATGAATTAAACATCTAGAATATATGTCCGGTAATTTTTGTAAAAATTTCTTTGAATTATCTTAAAATTTTCATCAATTGATATCTTTTCAAAACCCCTGCTAATTCATGCTGTTTTTTGTCTATGGACATCTGATGACACTTTAATCGTAAATTGAGAGAATCTTGAAAATTTATCTGTAGGTAAGGCACGTTGCGTACATCCTGAATCAGTGTGTTTTTTATTATTATTTTCAAGAAGCATTGTTTATTCTTTCATCAGAATTGTCTCTTGAATTTTACTTCAACTATCCATAATCCTGTAAATTGCACAGATTGGTACCATGAATACCGATAGTTTTCTTCATGGGTTATACTTTCAATGCTCTTTATCAGTAGAACAGATAACAAAAATTAGAAAAATTTTAGAATAAAAAAAAACTTTATTCGCAAACTTAACAACTTCATTCTCTGTATATTCAGTCTAGTCTTCATCTGAAAAAAAAATTATTATAGATACAACTCCTCATTTTGAACACTGTAATAATGTTGTTGCTTGTGCAGAAATCCGTTTTTAAAGTTATATAATTTCCCCTTCCCCTATCAGTGTATGCAGGTTCTCTGTAAATTATAACTGTATACAGAGTGTTTTCGCCCGAAGTTATTTTCGTCCTTCATATTTCCAAAAAAAAAATTACCCGGTTTTAAATTCGCCAATTCACAATTTTGTTGAAGAAATTATGGTGTTTTTAATTTTCCCCATTTTAAATTCGCCCACCTAAGAGTAGGGCGAAAGGGCCGAAAATAAAACGGGGCGAACATTTCTCAATATCTTAACACGCAGGATTCTGACCCATTTATAGAATCTCATACCGGGTATTTTAAGGATATGGTGAAAAGTATGACAGGATTGGTACACTGTTAACTTAAAAAAAACATTTATTTAAATTTTACGATCATAAAGGTTAAAAATGCGAGTTAATGAAATGCGTAAGTTGTGTTTTATTATCTTGATCTCTCTTTTTTTTTTATTTGATATATTTACCTCTGCATATTATATCCGGGCACTCCAACGAAACACTCTAGAACAAACTTATAGTCGTCCCAAATACATCCTCGTCGAAGTATGATTTTATATATACAGCCCCCATTTTCGTGGATGTCTATTCCATCTTTATGGTAGTCTGGGAGTTCTGAATTTTTGTATTCAGACGATCTATCTTTATGATACCCACAGACGCAGATTCTGTACCAAACGTATACAGTCTGACCATTGTTGCGTATCAGTACCCTCTGTTTGCACTTACAATTAACATTATAGTGTATCTCGTCATCTAGGCTTTTCTCACAGTGAGTATTCATAATACAGGAAAAATCGCCACGTGACATCTTTGCCGGGAATGTTTGAGTTTATTTGACGAATTTACTTTTGGTTTTGCTTTTTGGTACTCAGCCTTAGGACCAATCGCAACTTCTCGGGCCTTTTTGATGGAAAGACCCGAGATAATGCGATTGCTTATGACACGTGGATTAAGCATGCGCACAGTGTTAGTCTTTATTTTTTTAATATATTCGATCAATGCATACTATTAGTGCAAGATATATTACTGTATTCAGCGGCGACTCACACAAACTGTTCCGACGAAAATAGTTCCATCATTAATAAGTAGATACAACATAATTGTTCATGATAAGAATAATGTTGTGTATGTCATACGTAAAAGAAACCAAAATTAATGTTAATTTTTCCTCCAAAGATCACTTTCCCCCAATGAAAATAAAAAATGTTAATATTCCTACGCTCGCTCCCTCCTCAGCTTTTTTTTTTAACATGTTTGATAACAGAGAATATGTAGGTCATTCTTCGGTTGCTATTTTTTCACTGATGAATTGATTATACTTATATCAACAACTGTAGTAAAATCATGTTAATTGTTCGTTAATTGTCATATAGTTTCATCTAAGAGAAAAAAAATAATCATTCTGTGTGTGTAGTATATTAAATGACGGAATTTTCAATCCCTGAGCAGAATCCTGCACATGTGTAGACAAACTACACATCGGGAGAGTACATGTAAAATGTGTAACAAAACCCGAACTGGCCGGGGATTTCTAAACTGACTGTCGTTTAATTTTTATGAATCAAAATTTGTATTCATGTGATCTAATTATGAAAAAAAGTTCTGTCTGCCATCGTAACTTCTCTGTTTGCGGGAGTCCGTTTGACAACTCCATCGCACGTGTTTATAGCTGGCTAACTGGTCTTGCGGACATAGGTATGTGTACTGTTTGTTAGCATGGTTAGGAGATTTGGTGACCGTAATATGCTACGGACTCACGAAATTTACACAAGTTCTATAACTGGACAGTGCAGTTTTATTTTTATAAATGTCATTAAACACTGTTAAACATATTAAATCTAAAAGTCGAATATCTTTGGATATGGGGTAACCCATATCTATTCTTGTTATCAGAGGTATTTTTAAAAATTAATTATTTTAAGGACCTATAAAATATAAGAGGGTACATAGAATGAATGCATGTTTGGCCTGTTTCAAATTGTCTGAGAAGTTTAGAAAAAATAATTGAAAGGTTGTCCTTTTAAGCCTTAGATGGTGATATCCACTCTGTTACGTTATGCAATTATCTTTGAATATAATTTTAGGAGAGTGGTTTGTAAGTCGCCCGTTGACTTTAAACCGACAAACATGTATTTATCAGTTTTTCCCTACTATAGATAAGACCTTTATTTTGTTTTTAACTCGCTATCCCTTCATGAAAAGAAAAAAATACAGTATACTTTGATTTTTTCCCCTCTTCGATCGATCTAAAAACTCGATCCGACATAATAGTTTGCAAAAGTGTCATATTGCTCTAATTTTAATGTGGAAAACAGGAGAGAAAATTAAAATGTATTATTTTTTATTCCTATGTTTATTTTCTCGATATCAATCTTGTATGAATATGTTTCATAATGTCTAATAATGTAATTGTTTTTATTCAAAGAATTGGAAAGACCCAATAGTCATATGTCTAAAATTAACGTTGAACAACATTTTCCCCCTTAGTTGTATATATATATTTTTGCTAAAATTGACGCCACGTAATCATCTAGGTCAGGTTTCTGGAAATTCTCATTTCCAGAAAGTAGCGCGCGGTGATTTTATCGACTTATTTTATCAACATGGCTCGCTCTTTGTGTTACTCATGCAGCTACTTTAAATAATACGGACTTATCAGCCTGTTTTAACACAAACAAAGCATTTTATTTTTCTTTTGAATGCAACAGTGAACTGTCGTATTTTGATCACAATTTAAATGACTGTAGAGTCGCCTACTCGTTTTGGAAGATGGCCAAAATTCTTTTCATAGTAGGTGAATGGAGTATGTCTATTGATTTTTTTTTTTAATGCATGATGATAAAATTACAAACTGGGATTTTCCATAGAACTTGTATGATGATGTCTTATTTCTGCGTTTCTTTTTTGTGGATTTTTCTCCTTTATTTTTAGAACAAGCGCAAAAAAACTTCAGAAAGATTTCTCACTCATAATGTTGTGTTTACTTATAGAACATGGCTGAGGAAACAAAGACCGAGTTGGTCAAAACAACACAGCCAAAACCAGTGAAAGGAAATCCCCCAGATCCAACAAAAAAGATTTTGGTAAAAGAACACGAAAAAAGACTTAACCCGAATGCACCTGACACTTACAATGAAATAGATGATATCGAAATGGACGATGATATTGATGGTAAGTTAACATTGTTTACTGATATGTCACATGTTTGACTTAAGTTTATATTCAACATTTTAGTTATACTAGTATGTAGGAAGATTTTAATAAATTTACTATTTAAATTGATTTATTCTAGTTATTTAATTTTTGATTGAAATAATATTCATAGGCTTTGTACATTACCAAGTCAAGGACATTTACTTTAATAATATACTATTTAATCAGCATATACATATATTGTACAAACTGATTTATGTATATACGGTAAACCTATGGACTGTATGCTTCTTGGTAATAAACAATACAATCAGTTATTTAATGCATTTGGTGTCTGAAATGATGTTTTCATTATCACCAAACATTTTAATAAGTTTTTTTTATAGATAATTTAACGTTTTCTATTTCTTTTGAAAAATATACATTATAAATTAAATGTTTTCCTTTATAATTATTTATTATAATTATTTATTAATTTATGTTGCAGAAGACAGTCTTCCAAAAATTCCACAAAGTGAAATTGACGAGGCAGAGAAGAAATATACAAAACCGTCATAACTCGGCATAAAATCTTCCAGGAAAATACTCCGGTGCTAAAGCATTCATTCACATAGTTGGGCATATAACATTTTTTGATGACATAAAAATAATATTCAAACTCATAATAGATCTGGGCAGAGCAATTCAGTGTTCTCAAACAATTTGATAACGTCTTTTAATGTAGTCTTTTCTATATAGAGCTTAATCTAGAAGCTATTATTGTTTTATTTTATGTTAATAAAATTAATCAAAACATATCTTGCGTTTATCATAAATTTGTTGTCTAGAGTTAGCTCCCGTGAACAGTTGAGTTTTAAAGTTATATTTTCTGAGTTACCTCCACCTGAACTAAACGTTCATAAGACTTAGAAAAATTCTACGTCACGAACGTCATTTGGCGGGAATAATAAACTGTCGCACAATGCAACGATGCCAAATTGTGCGATTTATTATTGAGATATTTGCATTTTGGGTATGATAACTTTTGATAAAGCGCTTTTGGTGGTGTTATTTACTTTCTCTACAAGTTGGTATGAGGATTGCACATGCTAGATAAGGAGATAATCATTGCGGGTAAAAAAATAATTTTCTCACTTGTAAGTGAGTCTAAATCAGATTTTCATCTCTACGCCTTTAACCATGAGCACGTTTTACTGGTAACTGACAGCTTCATCGAGATTTGTTTTTCCGAACTCGAATTTCCTCTGTTGTTGTTTACGATTGACAGCTGTATGGCCTGTTACGATCGGTAAATAGGCGTTATTCACTCTAAATGCAGTATTAAATGGAAACCTTTTTTTAATCTTGTTTATTCATGTTTCCCCCATTTAAATGATATAGATTTTACAATATAAAACACAAGTGAAGGGAAGATGCGAAGTCATTCAAACTATAAAGAAATCGTTATGTTAGCAGAATTATCGCCCTCTTTCAAATCGATGTCTATTCCATTATATTCTTGTGAATCATGATCAACCAGAAATTTCCGTTTATGAACACCATAAAGCGTGGTAGGACATAGCGATAATTAACTAATTAATTTAAAGGGGGGGTATGTATAGAACGCTGTACTGAAACCGGCAGAAAAATCACACTAGTTCTATTTTATTTTTTATTATTTTTTCATTTGTTTATACAAATAAATACAAATACAAATATTTTATTGGCACAAACACAATTACAGTAATTGGTAAAGGCCCATAGAAAACATAGTGATAAGTATGAAAATACGTACAGTAGAACACAACTAGGATACAAACAATTGGTGTAGCAAATTATATATTGTACTTATCAGATACTAAACACATACATATGATTCAGTACAATTTAGTTACTCATTTATGATTAAAGTATTTTTTCTTATATCAGATATTTGACATAAAAATGATGATAATATTTTAAGAACCTTTTTACAACTAGTATTCATCAATACTTTTAACAATTTGTCATTATTATCAATTGTTTTGTTAAATTCAGGGAAAGTGGATAATTTTGTTTTGAATATTTTTCTAAGGTCAGTTGCTGGCAGTCAGTATGGAACTCTCATTTTCCTACACTATAATTCTTTAAAACTGTCAGTATGTTATTACTTGTATTTCATGAAAAATTCACAAAATATTATTACTTTTATTACATTGCATGTGATATCATAATAAGCACTGTATAGAAGTGATGAAACATGAATCTAGGAGAAACAAAATTTCACAAACCATAGACACATGATTATGACATTGGTGAGGTACGAACTTTATGCAACCCACTTTTAAGGGTTTTTTTTTTCATCCACATCATAAATTCACTAAGTTGTACACCATGTGCATATCCTTTCCCAACACTGTTGGTCATTGTATCATTGCAGGAGTAAATGTTGCACAGTTGTTTCACTATGAGAATAACAAAAATGTTTTTCTAGCATAATGAGTCAATATATGTAACAGGAGAGGAGAAGGATGCAGCGGATCAGATCAGAATTAAAACCCGGGCCCCCTGAATCTCCAGTCAGGTGCTCTTCCAACTGAGCTACCTTTCTAATGGTAATCAAACCCGGCTGACCACCACATTCCTCCCTCCTTAAAGGTCTTTGGCTCCAAATGACCCCAACCCAGGCTCATCCCTGGCAGACTTCTCACCTGTCAGTTCAAGGACATGGCATGGCACAGCACCAAATGTAACGGGAGAGGAAAAAGACGCAGAGGACCAGATTGGGATTTGAACCCTGGCTCCCTAAATCTCCGGTCAGGTGCTCTATATCTGGCACTACTGTGGACATTTTACCTTATGATTAAGTTCTATATACATAGATAATTAGAGATTACAAAGCTCACCTCAACAAATGTTGTTAAGTAAGGCAAAAGAACACAATTAACCAACATTCTAAAAGTGTACATCCAGAAATGCAAAATTTATGCAATATTGATCTGATAGGGTTTGCATTTACTTTGGAATAGACCTATCCAAAAACTTCAAACTAGTCATCCGTCAAGAGAATGTCATTCAAATCCAGCATCTGAAGCAAGTTTGAGAGTTTTCATCCCTTGATGCATCATTTGTGCAAGTTTGGTTAATATAGGCCTTATATTTTCTTGGTGATAGCCCTGCATCCATAACTTTTACCTGGTCCATTATCTGGAAAATGTATGTCTAATTCAGCATCCAAAGCAAGTCCATAAGTATGCATCCTTATATATTATCCATGCAAGTTTGCTCAACATATATAGGGTTCATAGTTACTTGGAAAAGAAACCTGCACCAAAAACATTAACTTGTTCACTCATCCAGAAAATGTAGGTCAGATTCAGCATCCAAAGCAAACCTAGTAGTGCTTATTCTGATATGTTGATCATCCATGCAAGTTTGGTCAACATAGGGCATATAGTTACTTGGAAATGAGACCTACATCAAAAACTGCACCAAAAATGTTAACCTGCTCCAAAAACATTAACCTGGTTCATTCCTTTGCTGAAATTGCAGCATCTGAATCTTTGTCAGCTGGTACATGTACAATGAAACACACTAGAAGCATCTTCCATGCATGTCTATAATCAATGTAGGGCAAAGAAGTAGAAAAAAAACTGCTCCAAACAAGAGGCCCAAGGCCCTAGCTATATAGTGATGTATCATGTAACAACTTTCCAACAATTGAATTTGGTTCTTAAAACCAGAAGCAATAATGAAATAAACAATTTTGAAAGATGCACCATTGCTTTTCAAACTATACACTCGGCATGCTTTCTTTTGTTAATTTAAACACAGGGGTAGATCAGAGTAACAAGGAGAAAATGCATTTCCACTTTATAAACAATTTTGCACCCTACCCCCACAGGAGCCACTGACCCTGAAGCCACATATTTCAAAATTTTGAAAATTTCATCATAAATGGTTGATTAATACCAAAGAGCAGATGTTAAAGCATTAATTTATTTTCAAACTACATGTATGTAACCCCTTCCCCCATACTCCTGATCCCAAGGCTCTGAAATTGACCATTTTGAAAGAGGTGCCTTTCTTCATCATAAATGTGTACCAAGATCATTGGCATAATACCCAGGAGCAAAGGAAAAAGAATTTCAAAGAATTAATGCATTTTCACAAAACATAATCATTAGAACTCCATCCTAACACCAGAACCTCTGACCCAGGGGCTATGAAATTCACAAATTTGAAAGAGGCATCCTTCCTCATAATAACTGTATACATACATGTAGTTCATTCATTTAATTTCCAGGAGCATGCAGAGGAGCACATTTTTGCAGAATTTATGCATTTTCACTATATAATCAATAGAGCCTGCCCTAACACCAGAACCGCTGACCCTTGGGCCATGAAATTTACAATTCTGGAAGTGGCACCCATATTCAACATAAATATATGTACTTGGTTAGTTTATTTAATACCCAGGAGCAGCGAAGAAGACTTTCAAAGAATTTATACATTTTCACTATACATTTATATCTTTATAGCCCTGACATAACACTAGAACCCATAACCCTGGAGCCACGAAATTCACAATTTTTGAAGAGGCGCCCTTATTCAACATAATTAAGTACTTGCTTAGTTTATTTAATACCCAGAAGCAGAGATTTTCAAAAAAAAAATATGCATTTTCACTATATAATCTATATAACCCCGCCCTGGCACTAAAACTCCCGACTCTAGGGCCACAAAATTCACAATTTTGGAAGAGGACTCAATGCTGATTACAATCATGCCAACAGTTTGACTGCTTGATGTCCAGGAGTAAAGAAGATTTTTAAAGATTGCATTAATTTTAGTGATTTTTGCTCCACCCCTCCTGCAGAGGGGCAGGGACCATGAATTTCACAATTCTTGTTCCCTTTGACCCATATATGCTTTATGCCAAAATTGGTTGCAATTGGTTGAGTGGTTACAAAGAAAAAGCTGAAAATGTTCATATGTTAATGCACGGCACATGACGACAGTCAAACAGATAGCAATAGGTCAATCCGAGTTTACTCAGGTGACCTTAAAACTTAACCTTAATCTGGGATGCCGACAAGGGTATCACATAAGCTCCTCTTTCTTCGTTGAGGTTAGCAAAAAATGAATTTTTACTTTCTAATCTTTCAATTTGATATCATAAATCAAATCCTGTCAAAAATAGCAGTTATTCCTCGTTTGTCATTTTTGTAGTGCTCTCTGCCATCATGGCAAGATAATTGTATTATAACTATGTGGCAGGATTATTTAAGGAATCACTGTCTAGTTTTGAGAGTATGCCAGGGCATCAACAATAGTGGGAAACATGGAATAATTTGCATAACGGGCGAAGCCCGTTATGCTAGAATTATTCCATGTTTCCCACTATTGTTGATGTCCCTGGCATACCCTCAAAACTAGACAGTGATTCCTTATATTTCCATTTCATTGTGAAATAAAATTGTACTTAGACATTAAGAATGTAGACTAATCGATTTAAATTACACGAGGACTTCCATGCCAATTTCAATGGTCCTCGCACACGGACGTCAAACACAAAGACAGCCGCACGAGATTTACATGCATATTTGGCCTCCTTAGCGTCAGACACAGAGACAGATGCGCACGAGATTTGCATTCGTATTAGGCCTCCTTAGCTGCTGACCTATTGACCTGCCTAATTTACATTCCGGCAGAATTATCAGGAAATCAACTCCGCTTACTTTCAAAGGGTTATTATAGAGAAAAAATTTAGAAATGGAAATATTGTATTATAACTATATAGATTATATTTGTTCTTTCTATTCATCATAAATATCCATTGCTTTTTTAAAACTGCCAGAAATAATGAATTAAGGGAGACATTTTTTACTCCTTTATTATAATACTGCGTCTTGTATACAACAGTATATACAAATCCATTCATGCTTTTCACATAAAACACAATATACAATACAGTCATACAAGTAAATATCAGTATGTAACAAGTTATGTTTAAAAATTATATTTTATTTAAATCAGAATCACACACATCAACAATCAACAATATAAATGAGTAATTTAAATATACATTAAATATTTTAAGAAATAAAATCATTACCCAAGTTTGAAGATTTATAAAAATCAAAAAACCCAAGCTTTCAATGATAAAGTATGACAATTATGCTAATACATGTATCTTAAGATACAGCTTTACGCTTTTCTTAAGTAAATATTCACTAAAAGATTTTCTTCAAAGCTACATTTGTATATCATTACAAATTTTATTTATAATATTTAATTCAATTCTTTCTAGATAACATCAACCTACAGATACCTCATGTTCACAAACCACTTTCACATGTCTGAAATTTGTAGTACCGTAGTTGGACCCATGTGATAATGCATGCTAGTACATTGAAGTATGACTTTAAACCCACATCAACTTCATTAATTCACTCATAGCACTTATATGATGTCAAACATAATAATGCAATGATTTTTTTTTTGTTTCAGCAAAATGATTGTATTTACAAAAGTTAGATCTTTCCCATGAAGCAAATGCTGCTGTAAGTACACTAGCAGTTGATCTGAGCAAGGTTTTCAATACAACTAGCTACAGTGGAATGTTGCAGAAGCCTATCACAATACATCTCCTTGTTCAACATCATGATATGTTCTCCTTGCGATATATCTGATGTATTTTCTTTTGAAGAATTTTTTATGGATAATGGTGAGGTAACTCCTCATGAATTTCTTAATTAAGGCAAAATATTTCACTGTGAAATGGGGAGACAATTTGGAAAAGTGTTCATAAACAATCAAAATCTGAATACAGATCATTTTCAAATTTATATGACAATCTGGAATATTGTTTTTAAAAAAATTAAATTACATGATCAGTAATTACATTTTTTGAATACTTAAATATATGTAGTACATGTATCTATGGGAAGATACACAGTGTTACAATCAAAGAACAGAGAAGGATAAGAGAAAATTGACAATTTATGCAGATCTCAGAAAAAAAAAATCATGACAATAGATCTTCTCACAACCAGATGAAAATTTTAGGAATTTTTTTTCTTTGCAGTTTGAGAGCGGTTTTGTAATATAAAGAACATTACTGGCCTGTACTGGATTTCCTAAATACAAAGCTATTATTAAGAATGAAGGTGTTGAATATACATGTTGTTAATCACATCTACTGTGGGATGGAGTTCTGACCTTTAAAGTTTTGAGTTTAATAATAAGTGAATGATTTTTGCTTTCAATTAAATATCAATCTCCAGTTTTTGACCCGATTTCAAGTACAAAAATATTGCACATATGACCAACTTATATATTAAAAAGAATTCAGAATGTTTACTTAAATTACAATTTACTTATTTCATACCATTCTTCAATTTCTTGACAGAAATTTAAACAAACCTCTATTTCATAGAAAAATAAGCATGTTCAGAGTAATGTCAGCACTGCTGAAAACAAACAAGAAATGGAAAGTTCTTCATTGTTCACACGTCTCCAGACTGTTCCAATTTTTAGAATGTTGGAGATTTCTGTCTCGCTGTCCAAGAATCGAACGGATAAAATGCCCCTTCCTTTTTCCTCTTTATTTTTTGCCAAAGTTACCAAATGAGCTAAATGCGGCATCAGTTCTTTGCTGAAACTGACTTTGTCCCATCATTTTACTTTGCATTCCCATAGATCCACTCGGCATAGTCCCCATCCCTGTCTGCATTCCCATGCTTCCCTGCATACCAACCGACATTCCTGAAAATACAATAATATATGAAAACTATAATCACACTAGTTACAGACAACTGATATTATTTTTTTGCATTTTACATGCTTTTGTGCATCTTTTTCTCCCACTGGGTTTGATGTGGACTACAGGTATTTGACTGGAGGAGAAGTTTATCCTTGCATATTCTTAACACTCTCTTGGAGTAAAAATGAGCCTTCAGACAAAACTTGTTCACTCTGATCTTGATTTTTGAAATTTTTTCCTTAGAAGCCTGCTATCATCTTTGGTTTTTATTAAGGATAGACAAGACATTCCTTATTTTTGTCATTGAAGTATTGCTACTTAAACATGTTTACTCACAAAAAATTGAGGTACCTTACCAGGCATTTCTGCAAGATACCAGGGGTAGTTTTTCTTATATAATCCTTTTGGGAAGAAAAATAATTTTTCCAATTTCAAATGTTTAATTGTTTGGATTTTTTAAAGATGTTTAGAAATTGATTTACAAATCAGAATGTGATTAAAATTTTGAGTATTTTCCTGTATTACGAAGATTTACAAAACAGATATTGGGGAAGTCTTGTCTGACCTTAAGATACTTAATTCAAGGTCACTGCACACACTTCAACTTGTTGGCACTGTTAGTTTGCACTATGATTTAGATTGATGAAAAAAGAAGTTTTAATATGCTCACACCATCTACTTTAAAAATAATGACAAAGATTTTAGTAGAGATCTGATATGACCTTGACCCTCTATGTCACTACACATCTTTTACACATTAACTTCTCAATATATAAAATATGAGCCAGGTAATGCAAGGGAGAGGAACACAGAATTTACATATATTGATTCACTGTACCAACAAACATGTGTAGATTTGAATTCAAACTGGACCAAAACAAGAAAAAAATATATTCTAGACAAAGCAATATCAGACAGACTGATCAACAAAAGCAAGGCACTAATGAATCACAATCATAGCCCAGACTGAGGCAGGGTTCTCCATCGTTTTGAATTTTACTGTGTTGCAAAGTTTACGCGAAGCACTAAAAATTTGCGGTATTTTCGCGATCAAATTCGCAACTGAATCACTATTCATTGTAATTACAAAAGAATGCATGCACACACTTAATTAAAAAATCGCCAATTTTTATACAAAAGTTATGGTCGTACATACATGTATTAATAAAAGTAAAAACAGGTTCTCTAAAGCAGAGGAAATTCTGACCGATACCATTGGACACAGTCGAACTACTTTTGTATCATTTTTGAAAGTAAATTGGCCCTGATTATTTATCATTTTTCTTGCTCGAGTAACTTCATTACAAAGAAACTTCAGAACAGTTAAATACTTTAAAGAGTTCCTTGAACATGTTGAAAATTTTAATCAATTTATTTACATCATTTAAATGACTTCGGTACGATATTATGTGTAACTTACAGTGCTTGTTAAACATGATTCTAGAGCTGTGACACATCTAAATATTTTTAATAAAACAATGTATTTATTGCAACTACCAACTAACCGTTACATGGAAGTGTGAAAACAAATTATTTGTGTTTGTTCCTTCATGCGTAAGGTCCAGCGAAGGTCTAGGAGATAATTGATCATGCAAGGTGAAGCCCTTAGTAATTAATTGAAAGACGGTAGAATTCTTTATTAAAGTTTCAGTCATAAAGAATTTATGTGTTTAGATTTTCTAATTATCACAGATCTTACTGTGTCGGCAACATTTTTATTGTGTCGTATGCATAAAATTTGAATCATTACTGTGTCGGAAAAAAACTTACTGTGTCGGGAGCAACACAGAAAAACAGCTTATGGAGAACCCTGCTGAGGCAAACATCAACTAAATTCTTGTTTCCTGCCTTTTAAACTTTTACAAATCAATATTCAGTCTATCAAAGTCTGTCTAAATAGCTTCTCCCTCTGTATTTAGTGCTTACCCATTTGTCCCACCATTTGTCTAGGCTGCCCCATCATTGGCTGTCCCATCATGTTGCCCTGGTTCACGGACATGTTTTGCATTCCCTGTTGTAACCCTGCCATTCCTGGCTGGTTTCCCACCATTCCTAAAACAGCAACACAATTGGTTATTTGTTTGTACACTAATACAATCTAGAAGAGCTATGGATTATACTCAATATATAATCAATTTTAGTATGTTATATTTAATAGTTAAAACTATGTACATCATTGTTTTTCATTTATCCACATCATCACAATTTTCACAGTTAACATTTAAGTTCTTTCAAATTGCCTTAGAGATCTTTTTTGAATGAAAAGAATTCTTTATATTTAACATGTGCACATTATGATTCTAGGACATATAGTGCAAATTATTATCTAGTACCAGCTAAGTACATAAATGTATTTTATTTAGCAGATGTTTGGGGGCTTAAATCAGTTTTTAAGAAACATCAACTAATTTAAAACTTCAGGTAACTCTTATCATATCTAAGTTCATTAACCAGTAAAAAATTTATTGACCTTTTGCAACCTTGGTCATAGTAGCTTATTACTTGGTTCAGAATTATCTTGTACATGTGTGTCATATGATAATACACCCAAACCCAAATAAAAGAGAATACCGTCAAGCACATTTTAATGGAAAATAAATATGTACTTCAAAAAAAAAAGGAGCAACTTATCCTATCAAAAGCAATAGCAATAACAGGTGTATAATCAAAAAGAAAATTGTTATCCACAATCACTTCAACCCAAAAACCACAAAACAGTATCAATCTCTCCAACAAACAAAACTTGGAAAATAATTATGTACATGTGGTGAAAAGATAACTCTAATCACAGGCTACCCAAGTGAACTTAAAGAGTTCAGAACATCAAAATACATGCACAGCAAAGTAAAGACTTTAATCAAAACAAGAATTTATACCATATTCAGTGGTGTACCCCAGCTGATACATTTCAGGGCTCCAAGTGTTATATGGAACTCCTTTAAACACATGCAAACCAATTGTTATTTCTTTTAGTAAAAAGGGTTTTTTTTAATTTTAAATTCCCTTTCAGTTAGTAATATTCATTATTTTCGATATCAAAAAATATGTAAAGTTCAGTTTCATTCCAGTAAAAATTAATTCTCTTTATCATAAGACATAACAATGTGCATTTTGACCATCACTAAAAGAAGGCAATTTTCTTATCCACAATGTCCAGCTCTGGTAATTAATCCTATATCTAACTGTACACTACATCATAAGAATCTATAACTTGTTCTCGGAGTTGCCCAGGCTGTATTACCTTGACTAGTGCGCTGCTGGAGTTGGTTCATGGACGGTTGTGCGTGTTTCTGGTACTTATTGGGAGATGAGAGCCCATCCAGATCAATGTTCACTTTTCCTGAATCTGTCCAGGTGTTGGAACTCTTCTGCTTAAAACAACAACAGAAATTTGATATCATAAACTATTCTTCTATTTTCTTTTAAATCCAATAAACCTTAAAATGATTCTTCTGAAACTGGTTTCGGCTGTGTCATAGTGTGAGCGAGTGTACAATGTATGACAATCACATCCCATTTACCATACAACTGTTGTAAATACAAACATCTGTCAACTAAATAAGTTACTCTCAACACTGTACCTACAAGAATAGCCAACATAGTCTACGGAGGATAACATAGGATACAGAGTATAACTGATATAGCCTTGTATACAAGTACATGTAAGTGTAAACAAAATGGTTCAGGTTAAATATCGGCCACCACCAGTCACCTTTGATGGGTATGCTATTTATGAAATATATGTACTGGGGTATAAGGATGTGCATATCATAAGTATATACAGTACTGTATACATGTACATGAAATACCAGATTTCTTTGGAACACTTGGATTAAATAATTATAAATCTAATAGTTTGGATATTTTATGATAGAAAATATGACATATATTTAAACATATCTTCAAACACTCGTAAGCTCAGCACTGGTATACTACAAGATCAACTATTCCGTGTACCATGAAAATAACAACTCTTAATCTGTTCAATATGCATTACTGATTCATAAATCTAGCTGAATTCAAAGCAAGGTTACAGATGTACAAGAAAAAGAAATCCACTTCACATACAAGGAAAGATAAACCAAAATTTTCAGCTCTCTATGAATTCATAACAAAGTGTCATGAACTTTTCTTAATATTTATATGTTAAATTTAATAGTGAAATATCTGATCTGTGAAGCCACAAAAGTTTTGGAATCTCTGGACTTATTTTTATAACTGTTCTAAACAGAAGTTGTTGTAAATATTTCCGCTACAGGATGTCTCTTTAAGCTTCCAAAAAGCATGGGTTAACTTCCAGGTGTAAAGTTTCACTTTCAATCATTATACTACATAAAAGAAATCAGAGTGTTCAGCACATTTTTATCCCCGTTTTGTTCCTTGTATGTGAAGCCATACAGATTAGAGTCAATGATTTCCCCAATAATAACATGAAGCCAAAGGGGAGGTGAAAAATGAACCAACCTTGGTCTCAGATGCAGACGTAGTAATGCTAGTTATTTCTGTTTCCTCTGCAACCTAAAGTCACATGGTGTTAGATTTCATGATACATGGGATTTGGGAAGAAAAGTATTGGTTTACTTTTTTTTAATCAAGTTTATAAATCAAGGAATATTGTTCAATTTAACATAAATACTTGACAAATCTTTGATTCGTGTAATAATTAATTTCAAAAAAGAAGATTTAATATTCAAGGGAATTAAATGGTGTTTTAATATTTGTTCATGTACCAAAAATATCTATCCACATACAGCTGAAGCATGCAGGTTAAGGAATTAAACATTTTGTTAGTAACTTAACCTTGCCTTTATATTTCAGGTTTCTAATGGATGAGTTGGAACAAATATAGTTTTTTTTCTGTCTGACTATTAATAACCAACTTTGCACAATATATATTTTATTTTAAAGCTGAGTGCATTAATCCAATGAATATGGGGTATTAGAGTGCTGCATATGAATATTGAATGAGGGGACAAAACAAAATGCAGCATGATTTACCATTACCGTTACGGTCTGATGAATAATGACTTACTAATGTGCTTCTACTGCCCTGACATATGTGTACTGCCCATATCTAACACATACTTTTGAGTTCAATTTTATAAACAGCATGCATGTTGTATGAAACTTGATAATTCTTTAAAACTGACCAAACCATTTTAAAATAAAAACCCTGTGCCATCACCTGTTTGTACAATTTCATAAGCCAAGGGAAATTCATGCAGTAAGCTTTCCATCAGTTGATCCACATACTATTGCCAAAATTTTTACCACATGCAAATTTTATTGCTTATACAGTGCATAAGAATATGGCAAACATTCTTTTTTTTTAACATTGACCTCCTTTTTCGCTTTATTACAATCACATGTTGGAGTGCCATATTCTTGACCCCAAGCATGACTTACCATTCCAGAGTTTTGCATTGGGAAGTTGGCTGTAAATCCCATGTTCTGTGGCATTCCTGGCTGCATCATCATAGGCTACAAATATTTAATTTCATGTTAGTGGTTTCATTTTATCGATTTATAAAGTTAACAAATAACAACAAAATATACAGAGTGAATTTCAAAATTACCAAGCACAATTATTCTTTAAACAAATTTTTTAACATAATATTATTAATATCAGCTGTTAACAGCCAATAAAACTAATGTACAACTGCTTCTGTTCATCTCATTAATATCAAACCTGCTGTTGTGGCATTGACATGGGTGCCATCATGCCTTGTGACATCATGTTGGGGGACATTCCCGTCATTTGACCTTGAGACTGTGGGGTCATACCCATCATCTGTGGGTTCATTCCCATCTGTCAATAAAAAGCCAGTTTTAAGGAAACCTTAAATGCACTCATATCTTTAAGTAATCTTTAAATCGCCTGTTGGCATAGTAGTTTTTATTCATAATGCAAGAAATTTTAAAAAGTAATTGAATAATGAAAATAAATTAAAAGAAATAAAAAATTTTAGATATTAATTGAAAATATCGTTGTTTTGCATTTGAAAAAAGCTTAGCTAGAAGAATGAGCATTTGTATGCCTCTGTTTCTTTGTTTTTATCTATGGTAGAAAGTGAAGAACATCACAACTCAAAGAATTTTTCTGTGTCATGAAAAACTGACCTGATTTGGCACACCAGTCATTCCCACATTCATGTTAACCCCCATCATGGGCTGATTCATTCCTGACATGGGCACGTTGTTCATGGGCTGCATGTTGCCCATCATTGGATTGCCCACACCTGGACCACTGGTTGGCATAGGGGCTGACATTGAACTGTTTCCAAACACATCCAGCAAGTCATTACTCGTTGATGCTGAATTCGAAGGGCTTGTTGCAGCTGAGTTGAATTGAGAAAAGTCTGCAAAGCTGTCATTTCTAAATAAAGAGGAAAGATAATGTTTACAGGTATATTAATAAAAACACCATATGTAAACATCTGTTCATAAAGAAAACTTGAAGTACAGAGACATTTTTTCATATTTATATCAATATAGATATGTGTCAATATACAGTTAAAGTATATCACTGAGGGAGTCAGCAAGATTCCAGTTCCCCAAGAGTAAGTCTACTTCCCGAGGCGCTTGCGCCGAGGGAAATAGGCTTGCTCGAGGGGAACTGGAATCTTGCTGACTCTCTCAGTGATATATTACTTTAACTGTTTTATTATACCGATACAAACAAGACATTTGAAAAAGTTATTCTGTAACAATGTTTAATTCCAACAGAAATAAAAAAAAAAATAACAACAAAACAGAATACAGACATGAATAGAATTCCATTTTATCAATAAACCAGTTCATTGTCCGAGTTTTTACTGAGTAAAATGGAAAGTAACATTACGCAAATCTTGAGATCGCCATTTCTGTTGTCATTTGCTACCAGTAAACTGGTTCTTTCTGATTGATATGGGACCAGTTGACTCGCGATGCATTTCGATTCATTAATGAATATTCATGAGTTTATTCGGAACATTTCTAAGTTTGTCGTAAGTTGAAAGAAAATGCTAAGTGTTCCGAATAGGTGTGTATCAGTTCATCAAAAAAACGTACTTTTTTTGCAGGGAATCAGTCTGTTTTGCAGGGAATCGGTTTATTCACGGTGATTTTCAGGAAATCAGCAAAATATATCGATTTACTTTTATATTGTGAAAAATCAGTAGAGGTATAATAATAACATTTGATGCTTCCTTGCGAAAAAAAAACATACCCAGCTGGTTTTGCATTGTTAGGACCGTTATCAAAGCTTGCAAAGTCCCCAAAAGATTCTTTGTTTGGAGAAACTGTATCAGAAAAGAAATATTTTTTTTTTAATTAAAAAAAAAAGAAACTGTTGAATATACATACATGCACAGTCAAACTTTGTCGTTATAGAGTCCACTGTACTGTAATTAGGGTACAAGTAAATCTTACCAGCTGTTGTACCAGCTCTTGGGTTGAATTCCCCATTTGCTGCTGCCGATTTAAAATCAGCAAAATCTGAGAAGCCATCCTCTGCCGTCTTCGTACTTCCCATATCTATCAAACTGGGACCAAAGTCTTCTCTGACACCGGTACTACTGGACTGGGACTAAATAGGTCACCAAAATACAGAATGAAATTACGAATTTCAAGAGAATTTTTTTTAAATAGAGAATTATAATATTTTTATATTGTTAAACCTTGAAATTCTTTAAAAAAAATTCCTGTTACCATTTATATTGCATCTGACAAAAATACCACTTCATGAATTATTATGACTGAAATATTTATAATGACTATAAGACCACAGAATGCTTATAATAGCAGTAAATTATCAAAATTATTATTAAAAGTGCAATTATTTTTCAGGTTATGTATACATTGTACTTTAAATTCATCTGCAAAATTACCGTTGTATCTGACACTTCTTTAGCTAAATTAGAAGATGCCCCTAAATCTAATTTTTTTCCTACAGATCTTGTTCGTCGATTCGTTGTTATTTTTTCCGTTCTGGTTGTATGTGTTCGTTCTACTGAGGTGAATTCTTCATCGTCATCTTTATAGGAATATTTGGAATTCGGGGCATCATCAAAATCATCTACTTTGTTGTCTGGTTCATCACTGAAATATACATCACAGAATTTATAATCACATTGCATTAATATATATAGTTAATTATCCTACCATTATCAGTACTGCAGCATATATAAAAGAATGCACACATAATTCTGTGTGAAATATTCTCCAAAAGTTTTTTTCATGTGATAAAAAAAAAATATAATAAACACTTCATTTCTACCTGCTATTAGTGATTAAATCAAAATGCAAACCTTCTACAACTTCTTCTAATCAATAACATGACACAAAGACAATTCAACAAATAGATACAGTAACTATTATTCTTCACTCTAAAAACACCTTTAGTTTGAGCTATTTGAATGAAGTTGTGGCTTTTTCAAGATAAACATTGACAAAATGTTAGGTGAATTCTCTTGTCTGCTATCTGAGTGAACTACATAAGAATGATTAACTTCTATATAGTTTACATTTACAATAATTTAATACACATGTAACAGCATTACGGCATTTTTTCGTTCTATCAGTTAGCTTTATTTTTGAAAAATGATAATACTGACAATGAATACTTTAACCTCCGTACCAATGTCAAAGTACATTCACAGTGGTAAGGAAAAAAATCATGCATATAGTTATTAAAAATGTTAGGTATACATTTATTTTTTTAAATCAAACCATAAAGAAGAAAAATATATTTAAATATTAGATTTTCAAGATTTTTGACCATACATAGTCCCAATTTTACCCTCTCAACTGTTAAATATTAAGTCAACTTTAAAAACTGGGCCACGGATCTAAACGAAGTAAAATTTTACATTCTACTTAATAGATTAAAACTGCAGAGCTATTCCACATGAAAATGAAAGTATAACATGACACTAGAAGTTGTGAGTAATACTTTTTACAACATTAAACATGACAAAATATTCACATACCAATGATCTGTTAGGCTACAGAATAGATTAAGAATAATACAGTGTGATATTTCAGTAACAGATATTAACTAGTGCTAATTGTAAACCGTAAATTACAAAGATGTATTATTAAACGCTCCCCAACTCCCTTTTGGTTATATTCTCTGTAGCTTCATTAAATAAGACAAACTCGATGTATTTAAGACTTAAATAACGTTTACACAGAAGTGTACAAAGTTCATTCAAATTTTGCGTGCGCATGTGAATGCATGTGCGTAATGACCATATCATCTTGTCTACACAATCTATATATTTTTAAATACTAAATATTAAAGCATTTAATCCAAAAGTATTAAAAAGATACACTCGTTGAAGTGTTTTTTGATTTTGCTCATTTAACGTGCACGCACGTGCATACATGAGCATGGTGACCATATCTTCTTGTAGATGACCGTTACATCTATCTATGTTCTAAATCCCACCCCGTTTGGTTGAAAACCAAGGGAGTTATAGCTGTTTAAAGTTTCAGCCAATCAGATTGCAGCGCACGTACATGCACGTGTATGCATGTGCATTGTGACCATATTTTCTTGTAAGTCCAGTATATCTATCTATGTTCCAAATTCCATCCTGTTTGGTTGAAAATCGAGGGAGGTATAGCTATTTTAAGTTTTAACCAATCAGATTGCAGCGCACGTGCATGCACGTGTTTCATGATAATTGTTATATATCTTGTAGGATATACTTATGCATGGCTATTTTCAAAATTTCAAAGGATTTTGTCAAAAAATAAGAAAGATATTGAGACTTTAGTTTCAGCCAATCAGAGCAAAGCGCACGTAATGCGCGTGAGATCTTGCTATTTTGACCATGTCATATTGTCTATGCTTCTAATATATCCTTATATTATAAGTTTCAAAGCATGTCATCAAAAATTTTAAAAGTTAGGCCTATATCAATTAAATCGGTCATTTCACATGTTGCACGTGCACGCTCTTGCAAGCACGTGCGCGCAAAATGACCTTCGTTCCGCAAATCTACATAACATGTCTAATGACCCTAAAAACATTTCACCTTAGTCGGATGTATAGTTTACAATCATTCCCGGACAAAAAAACAGGAAGAAGAAGAAGAAAAATAATAATAATAAGAAACAGAGTAAAAACAATATGTTCCCCAACTTCGTTTGGGGAACATAATTAAAGGGCAAGAGAAATTCATGTATATGTACCAGTATATAAAATTCTGCAAACTTTTTTCTACTCATACATTTATTCATTTATTTTCTTCACATGCCTTTCTGACAATATATCACATTCATTTGATATTATTCTTTATTGAAAGGAGTCCATTTTACAATGCATGCTTGAATTGATAAAATATTGTATCACCTCCAGTACTTTTACATTCAATAAATATTTCCACATCACAATCAAAATTTGTATATGTCATCTACTCAAGCAAACTTAACATGTTCTTAATGATATTCTTGATAGTTAAAAGTACATTACAAGAAACTGAGAGAAGGCATGCCATTATTACAAGTAATTTACACACAATACAGAGCATACAGTGCATACCCCCTCGTTTAGAGTCAAACTACTTAAATCAGAGTATCTTGACAATCTAAGTACTATACCTTGTTGGCTTAGAGTACCTAAATTATGATGAACTTATTTACAATCTGCCCATTCATTAAGTATTTCAATGTGTAGTAAACAGATTATTAATTGGTTGGAATCTAATTAATACCAAAAAATGGTACATTGTATTTCCTAATTTATGCAGAAATACTTTCTCAAAATTTTTCATTCTATCAAAATAACCCCTTTCACTTTCAGCACAAGAGTAAAACCTTCACATTATTTTTTGGTGAGTAAATTTCAGGTAAATAAAGAACTCAATTATTGCAAATTTACAGATTTGCTCAATATGCTGATTTTGTGTCTCTTGGAAGTTGAAATAACAAAACATAGATCTTTTACAGCAAATTTTCAAACATCTAAATTACATTGAGTGAAAAAAAAATCCATGTATTGCAAATTAGCTGGGTATTGAACTATTCTTGAAGAACTTTATTTGAAGTATGCATGCAGTGTCTATAACAAGATCATATTGATACATTTACGAGGGTTGTCCCAAAAAGTCGTAGACAATGTTAATAACTTTTATAACATGCAACCAATACTAACCAAATTTTGCATTGAAATAATACATTCAATGTTCTTTAAAATTGTGAATTCTTCAATATATATCTTTCATATTAATTATATTAGGACGATTTATATGAAGGCCAACATGGCCTGTCGGCGCACGACCAAAATTTGGAATAATTTACGCATACAACTATTACATTTGCTTTTATTTCTTTGGTACTATGTAAAAGATTGAACTAAAATTTAAATCACTAAAACCAGAATCACAATCTTAATAATATGTCAAACTTTCATATAAATTGAAATAGAAACAGACGACTAATGGCATGATTTTCAGAGTCTTGTTGGATTTGAGATTGATGAAAATGACGTCGTCGAACGCGTACCCGGCGCACGGAAATGTAATAAATTGTTTTTGGTATGTTTTATATTCATCAGAGCCGGGGAAAAAGAGTACAAAAAAGACATTACACACTAGGTTTTAAGAGATTTTTTTTAAATAGCATGAGATTTAAAGATAGTTTTTCTTCTATATCGAAAAAATAGTTATTGCATGTAAGAAGTAGAGTACTGTTTGTTAAACGCAGACATTTGGGAATGTTCTGTGCCATGAACGTCGTCAAACAAGGTGTATTCTCTGCTGCCTAAAATGTAAGGTGATTTTTCAACTAAATTTTGACTAAAATTTGAATCTGCTTAAGAAAACGAACATAAGTCCCTAAGTGAGTGGCTTTTCATTGCACTTGGATGTTAATATCCCCATGTGAAGAAGAAAAAGAGATGACGTCATGAGAGACGTAAATTTCACTTGCTTTTGTGCGCCGATGTACACTTACATGGTTTCTTTATTTTTTCATAGTTCTCTTATCAAATGTGGTATCGTCATGAAACTTGAAATGTATGATCATAAAATGTTCCATTTTGCTATGACAAGAAAAGAAATTTGATTTAGCAAAGACAAAATTAACTACGTTCCCTGTCTACGACTTTTTGGGACAACCCTCTTTTGTCCAATAAGTGTGTCATGGGGGGGGGGGGGGGGGTGTGTCAGTGACTTAAGTCACTTAACATGATGCATTTGGAAAATTGATAATTGTATAATGTCTACAAAAACATTGTTGCACTAAGGAATACAGGTACAAAATCTTTCAAACAAATGTACAAGTCCTTATTCAATACCCTGTATCAGGTGTCACAATTATGATATCATGCAATAGACATCAACAACAGAACAGATTCAGCTTGCCTGCACCCACAGTCTATCAACTGCCACTTCAGAAAAGCATGTAAAACTTAATGGGTGTGTTTATATAATTTCTTTAAATCAAATAAGCATTGCTAAATGCCAAAGTTCATCATTACAAAACTTAAACATACAGTAGACATTTTTATATTTTGACAGCCTGAAAGTTTGATCATCATCAATGCAAAAATTCAATACCTTTAAACTTAAGTAATGATCCATATGAAGAAGAAAAACAATAGATAGCTACTAAATTACACAATTTAGTCAGCAAAGAAAAGAGACACAGTTGGTGCAGGTTTCTTTTTTCAAGTACATGTATAAAGCTACCAAAACATAAAAAAAGAAAGATGTGCAGACAAGCTGTAATGAAAAATGATGCTGAACCACAGATATAAATTTACAACTTGAAGAAGTTCAACAAGATTTTTCATATTTATTCCAGAATGTTAATTATTTGCTTTGGGCTTTCTGAATTTTCAGCAGTTAGTACTTTTCTCACCTAAAATCAGTCAAACTGTTCTTTCTGCCTGGGGCACGGTTTGAGCTACAAAATTACAAGCTGGTGATTTAGAAATACACATCAAAACAACACAACAGGCCCCACACCACTGTAATCTGTTTCTGACCACGCCATAGCCAATAAATACACTTTCAAAGTAAGTATGTACCCTTTCTTTATTCACCTTTGCAATTATGTTTTTGTATGGAGGTTAATTTTAGTATGACCCCTCAAAGAGAGACTAATGGTGAAGCATTAATAGATCACACAACTAGATGATGATAATGAATACCTCAGAATAAATGATCAAATCCATGAAGATTTACTGAATATCACTGATATAGAATTCCGTCTTAGGCAACACAAAGTCAACAGAACATGCATTATGCCTGTACATGCATTTTTTGTTGTTGAGATACATTTTACCCTATTTTAGAGCATAAGATAAATAGTAACCTATCATTTCAATTAAATCTCTATGCATTTGCCTATTGCAGCAAAAAGTAAAAGTGAATTAAATTTCCTTTTTTTCTCAGTCTAATTCATTCAATACAGTTTGATAATTTCCAAAGTTTTCCAATAACAATTTCTTATGAGTTTCCTTTGTGCAGCCTAATATAAGCATTTCAAAAGCATGTTATTATAGTCTGACTGTTACTCAACCCTCACCTGTAGTCAACTATATCTTCTGGACCCCTTCGACCTTGAACTTTGTTCCATAGACCTTTGACCTTGTCAACTGCTTCTGTTGCTATTGACTTGTTGCCGGAATCCCAGTCGTCAATTTCGTCTAGTTTATATTTAGATCTACCCCCTGATCCTGATGATGATACAGGATCCTCATCATACCGGTCACCTGAGATAAAAAAAATCCATTAATTTATGCAAGATGTGTATAATGTGCCAGCTAGTGTGTCGTTTACTTTCTTTTTTTTTTTTTTTTTTTTTTTTTTTTTTTAGATCTCTCTATATATCTTCACTAATAATGCATCAGTTTCACAATACAAGTACATATGTACTTAATTTCTCTTTCACATGCTGCAGAAATTTTTTTTTTCATAAAAGGGTATTTTTGATAAATCTAATTTTTAAACATTAAACTACAGAAAATATCCCAATTAAATGAATTTTTATATATATATGAAAATGTCTCCTACTGTATCTGCTGCCTGATGAATAACTATCACCAGACATTCCAATGTACTTGTCTCGATTCTTCTTGGCTTTCTTTCGTTCTTCTCGTAATCTTTCATCATCTTGAATAAATTCTACGAGTTCTCTGGCTTTCTGCCTTACTGTAATTGCAATAAAATAATCAATCAGGCATATCTTGCACACTTGTTTCATTCATTTAATTTCAGCACAATATTTGAATTATACATAAATCTCTCTTTTACTTCGACTTCACATTTCAACAACTTTTTCATTTTTTAAAATACTGTGGACAACGAAACAAGGCTGTTTGGAAATGAATATTTCTTAAAATTTACTTGCCTACAGTGAAAACAAAACAAAAAGGATTTTTCCCAATTTTGGCTTTTTTCAAAGTTATTGTTTTGGTTATATTGAATTTTTTATGTACGACTTATCTAAAATGGAAGATTGTTTTTGGTGTCAGCTTCAAATAATGGCAGAAACAGCAGTTTATTTGTGTGTTTGCAAGAGGAAAACACATCGATCATGTGGTCAAACATGTGTGTCAATACATTGTAAGAAATTTAATATGCATGAGAATCAGTTAAACACAGCTTTATTTGTAAATTGCAAGTACTAGTAGTTCTACAACAAGCGTCATTGATTTCACGAAAATTAAACCGTTTCTTCATCCTGCAGATACTAGCATTGCACAGAAATCGACAATACTTTTGTTTGTAAATCATGTCAAGATTATTCCATCTCCAATGCGAGCAATAACGAGAAATCGGGAATTATTTTTTTCTCAGTTATGTCTACCATTATGGCAAAAAACGAAATATGTCCCCTGAAAAAATAAAATTAAAAATGTTGTGTCCATTTTGTTGTCAATTTTGATAAATGATATAACATTTACTTATATATTTTATTTTCCTTGTCAATATTAAAACAATTGTTTTCATTGACACTAATTTTTCCCTGAAAAGGCCCAGGCCCCTTTTAAAAATTGTAGAAAAATCACTGGCCTATAATAACATAATCCTCCAGTTATCATGCCCAACTCTAGGAGAAGCCTGCTTGGACTTGGAGTCCCCTGTGTTTGCCTTTCAATTTTTAGGGGTATATACTGAAAGAGATTTTGTCCATTCTTTAGGCCTGCTTGGACTTGGGTGAGTATAAACTGATGGGATGCAAGTGTTTGTTACACTTTGCCTTTCACTCGATGAGTAGTGGGGGTGGGATATATTATTTCATGAACTCAGTACTCACAGTACCTTTAGTTTCTTTGCTACAATGATTTTTCACTAAAAATCAGCAAGAGGACTTATACAATTAGCTCTCAGATACTTTACCATTTAAACCTTGGTCTTTTCCCATTTCATCTGTGAATGTGTAACTTTCCAATCCGCGCAAGTCATACAGGTGCTCTCTACAACTCGTTACACACCTCTCTGACCCATTTCTGACCAGGTATGACAATAAAAGTAGGGACTGCAAAAACAATAGAACAAAAGTAGTGTAATATTAGAATCATAAATCTCTAACACTCAAAAGTGTCACAAAAGAAATATTTTTAAGCTTGCATTCAAACCTTATAAGTTCTCCTCCAGTTCTTTTTGTTGTCATGAAGCATGCGTTTCCACAACATACCCATCACCTCAGGAAAGTGCTCATATGTAAATGTGTATCTGGCAATTTCCTGCATAATTTGACCATGTGGCCCCCAGGCATCATCATTTGTGGCTTCTCTTACTTTTGTCTCCACCTCTGTATAATTCATCACCACATTGGTGCTAAATTTAAAAAAAAAACATTGCAAATCAATATTGCTGATCTTTTTATTTTATTGAATTTGATGAGTCATAAACCAACAATCAACAAAAATGTTTATTTTTAAACCTGCATGAGCAATATTTCATACACCCCAATGTCCTAGACCTTTGTACTGCATATAGTGACAGCGATTTTGACCATATTTTTAATACCAGTACAAATACTAAGATAGACAGAACGTTCTATCCTTATACAGGTTTTGTCCTGCAGACACAGTTTAATGATAGAATTTGTTCTGTATATTCGCAACGTAGCAAAATGAACAAGGGTGATAACTCAAACTCAGTGCATTTACTCAGAAAATCCAGAGAGTTCTGAATGTTAAACATGACATGTGAGAAAAGACTATGAGAAAATCAGTTGAACTTTCATCTTTATATGGATGATTTTGGGGGATAAACAACATAATATACAATCTCAAAAAGGTTTGTTTTAATATTAAATTGGTAGTTCAGCTCAACTCCTTTTGTATTCTTCAAAATCATTTCAAAGCAGATTTGCGCTGATTTGCTACATTGCAAGTACATGGGATATATTCTGTGGTGAGGGCTTGTCCCGAGACAGTTAGATTATTCTAAGTAGTACTAGGACAGACACAGAAAAACACACAATAACGTAATTCACTATCATGAAACCAAGCACCATGGTACGTGGATATGGAAGAGGTAAAAAGTTCAAGCCCAGCGCAAATCCTAAATTATGATACTCATATACAATATTCTGCTAACCTCAAAATGCTCTAAGCCCTAAAATATACTAACATTTGATATGGGATAGGCTTAAATATTTTGTTCAATATGGAAGTGGTCTCGAGAAAATTCGAGCTATCTTTATTTTACTTTCAGCTTTTATTAATGTTCTTTACAAAAATAAAGCTTTAAAACAAAAAGATACGATAAAATCAAAGTTGTTGAGTTCTAGTATTCAGTTTAAATGTAACTCATGTTTAATTGTATTATTTTGACAGATGACGCGACGCCGACACCCCCATTACATTTAGTTTTGATTCGATTTATTACGCACTTAAAGAATAAACAAAGAATATTCAGAAAGATAAATAAAGATAGAAACTTCTCAATACTATAACTTATTTAATTTCAATTGGCAATGTTCGCATCAAATCAGTAAGACAAATATCAACAAACATAGACCGGAAGACAACTACGTGTAAGAAAATTAAGGTCAAGGTAATATTTCTTTTACCGTTAAAAAAACCGACTTACACTTTATCTGTGATCTCCCTAATTTTCCACATCTTTCCTAGATGTCAAGATAATCTGTCCTAATCCGGATTAACTATCCAGATACGTAGATGGTGTACGATTGTCCACCCCTTCTTAGAAATTCCGTCTGTCGAAATCTAGCAATGGCGCATATATCACGTGACACAAAAGGGGAGCGGATCAAAACAAACACCAGAAAGTGAGAATGGCGAATATCAGTGAGTCTTTGTACATTTTTCACTGACAGTGCACACTTCGCAGGCACGTTGTATAGTTATTTTGACAGGAGAAATAGCATAAAACAGCAAGAAAAAAAATTGAAACTGAGTAAATAAAAAGAGGCAAATATTTGAAACTCAGTGTTTGACACTTTTAATTTATATTAAAGCGGTTCCACCACTTTCACATCCAAATTTTAATCATCATTAAACACGCTACTCTTATTTGACAAACTACAACAAAATGTGGGGAGAGGGGGTGTCAATAAACTAGCCTTTTTATGAACGTTTACCCCCCCCCCCCCCACACACACACACTTACAGCGTGTCTGTTTTGTGCTTCTACATTTTGTTACTTATGCGTTTGTATGCCTTCTGGGCCCAAAATTGGAAATAAATACTTACTTACTTTCTTTTGTCAACATAAACTTTTCTGAACCATGGCGACCTATAAATTAACTTTTTTTCTATTTAAAAGAATTAAATAATCCTCAGTTGCCTTCCACAGGTGTTCCATGAACATTTCGTTGCATCTCCGTGTCCATAAACTGTCCCATCCAACAGCACCCGATCCGACCCACCCATCCTCAACTCCAACCGAAATGAAGCATGATTTTTTTTTTGGGGGGGGGGGATTAAATGTAATTCAATCTTTTAGAATTAATTCAGGAGTATAAGAAACTTGAAAAGACCCAAAAAATAATTTACATTAAGGTACTCAGTGATCCGATCCTCAGGTACATAAAATTAGCAGCAAGGTAATCAAAAATACTCATAAAAATATCTTTGAATCCACAAAGTAATGTGAATTTACCCACAGAATTTCTTTAAAGTTAAACATTAAAGTTAATCATATTATATAGGGGAAATTGTAAAATCTCCAATATATATTCAGAAAAAGCGAATAGGAATATCATCTATGCATTTTCTAATTGCAAATTGATCAACAAATATATTTTAAGTTAAAAAAACGGTATCCAGGCATTTAGAGAAATTGTCATGATTTGTATACTTATTTGCCATGGTATTCTATGTCTTCTATTTCCTTCATGTATTATAAAATACATACCCCGGTAGTGTAAAAGGCTTTTGCTATCATTGCAAGACATCACACATCAATTCTAATTTCAATTTATACTAATAAGCATTGGTATCTAAGGCTCGATTCAAGAAAATCTTTCTTCTATAAAGATATATTTATTTTTTTTCCTTTTATGGGGTACAAATGTCAACTTTTTATAAGACCTTTTCTTAGACTTCCATAAACCTCGAATCATATAGACAGGAATAAGATGAAAATTGTTGCATTGAAAGTTTTCATTTTCAAGCTTCATATTCATGCTTTTTAAATTAAATATAAATTTTTGGAGTTATCCTTCCTGGCTGAGGATCGGATGTCCGTAAAGGACACTTATTTTAAGTAATTTTATTCATGTAATTTTTAAAAATAAATATTGACCTTTTTTTCAACTATCATATTTATTAGCAAAATTATTTAAAATATTATCGACACAAGTATATGCACATATTTATGATATGTGCATATCATATCAAATCAGAAGGTGAATTGTTGGTATTCAAAGGATGATCTTGTATCAAGAAATTTACGTGTACATGTGAATTACCGCCAAAAGTCTATGTATCTTGCTTTTATTCTTATTCTGGCTACTTCTTTATGCTTTGTGATTATTGTAATTATATGTCACTTTATTGTTTTCATATTCGTCTTTATTACATTTCACTTTGACTTTTATCCTTCTTCATTTTGCCCTTACTTCTATGTTGATTTATTCTTGTAAATTCATTTTACTTTCTTTTAAATTGATACAGTTTCTTAAATGATTATCTCTATTACGAACGTGAATTCAATCACACAAAGAATGAAGCATATGCAATGAAGACGAATACAAGCTGTCAAAATTTAGTGCCGCATTATAACGCTAGGTGGAAAATGATTTTTCTCGGGGACGGGTGAGATTCATTCCGGAAATAAAAAAGCGCATGCGCTAAATTTTCACTTGGAAGAAATGTTCCTGTGTAACTCTTTTATTTCCGAAATGATCATACACACGTTTTATATCCTCCAACCTAAACAATTTATGCTGTTCAGCCCCACCTCTCCTGAAAAGTGTTTTATGATCCAAAATAATATGCTAACTCCAAACCAAATTAATCCATTCTATCATCTTTAGGGGACGACAGTGTCTTCGGGGGGGGGGGGGGGGGGGGGGGGCTAATAAAGAACAAATTATTGATTTCCAAGATATTTTAGGGAAAATTATTTATGTTTTCATAAAATTAAGGGAAAAAAATATTATAATTTAAAAAAAAAGACGCTTTACTCCACAACTCCATTGGGGTTACTGCACTGAGAGGTAACGAAAAAATCATATATACCTTCTAATCTATTATGTGCTGAAACAGTGAAATAACTGAAGAAGGAAAAAATCATTTATTTTATTTTTGGTTTACACATAATGAATCACCATGATCAATCTATATTTTAGGGGGTGATAGACGGGGGGAGGGGGGTGTAGACCTTGAAACGACTTCCAAATATTCAGTGACAGGTAATACTGTAATTTATGCCTTATTTAAAATAAGATAAAAATAAAATAAATTATATTAAAATAAATTAAAAAAAAAATTCAGAGTGTATATATATATACCCTTAAGGAAAAAACTTAATCCCCTTTACAACCACTGATAAATAATCATTAGGAACTGAATAACACTATTAAAAAAGAACTACACATACAGGTGAACTAAGTACGCACAGTATTATGGCTAGGTCTTTATTTTACCTTTCAAAATCATTTGAGGCAATTTTTAAACTTCATAGTGTGCTGAATTTCATCATGAACATACAATTAATTTGCTATATCTCACTTGAAACTACTTGGTTCATGTGGTTCTGGTACTCCAACTGTTCAAAAGATAATTTCTAAAGATTTTGTAACGTTAAATAATAATAATAAAAAACTTTGGCCAATTTTTAAAAATTTGATTGCCCTATCTTGATTCAGAATTTAAAAAAAATCATATAATTACGTCGGTTTAAACTTGGTGAGAAAATTCTTTCCAGAAAATTTTAAAATTAATCCTTTGAATGTCTAAAATCTAATTTCTGAATGAATAAAAGAAAAAATTAAAGTGGGACAATAATTAGGCAGCTGATCCGGAGAAGGCTACCAGTTTTTTTTTTAAAAGATGGCCATATGGTCCCACCAATCAAGATGGACTGACAAAACCAAAGTTGAATAGGATATGCTGAAATATCTACGAGACTGATTGTGAACTTACTAATCAAAAGTTATTTTAAACATGCCAATAGTTTAAAAATCGGGCTGAAATATCCACACTTACATGTTTTTTAAAAGTCTCAAATTTTTCTATGTATGTATATGTGAAATATCAAATTTCCATGTATGTGTTTGACAATTAAATCAATGTGAAATATTCAAATTTTGAATAGTGAACACTGAGCTATGCATATTTGTAATTTTTTATAAGCAGCATATCAACTAAATTTATCTTAGAAATAAATGAAAATAACAGTTTGATTATACATTTTTGTATATATTTTTATTAAGACAAAGTACATACTAAGGCATAAAAACATATAACATAATCCTTAAAAACATGTTTTATTCTCATAATCTGGGTAATTATTAGTTGTACTTGTGATGACCCAGCCAGTGCAAGATCTAGGAAAGATTGTTTATCATGTGTTCATTGATTCTCTTGCATACTTTTATTTCAATCAAATTAATGGTATTGCATCTTCTTTGACTGCTTTGAAAGGAAGACTGGGTGTCTTTTTTTTCTGATATCACAACTGATTAACATATATGTTTAAGAAATCGTAAGTGAATATAGATCCTGTAGATTTAATCTCTTCAGAATGTCCCATCTTATTCTGCAATATGTGTTTAATTTAAGAACTAAAAATTAATTACTTGATTTGTGAGCATTGTTTATGCATATTTGACTTCTTTAGAAATTGCAAGTTTGCAATGCTCAAATGTGCCCTAGAAAAAGCATATGCATGGATAAAAAAAATCATACTTTAAATATAGACAAATAAGAAGAAGACTGTCAGTATATTTAAAGAAATATATTATTATCAATGAAAAATGAAATAAAAAACAAAGTTGGAAATTTTTTCTAAAATCACCTGCAAATGATACTTGTATATCATGTTCAGCATTTCAAAACTCTCCCCAAGACCCACATGGCACTGCCAGCATTTTCTTTATTTCAAAAAGATAAATATCTTTATTATCATAACATTATATGCTGAATTTCAGGACAAATGAAAAATAAGGATTTATACTCTTAAATATTATGCTTATTCTGCCAAGTGAGTTTCTGCCCTATATGTATGAATGTACCAATTGCACCTTTGATTGCATAAATGTAAAAGCATCAAAATTGTTAAAATATAAACTGATAGTAAATTAATTTTTTATAGTATATATAATTTGATACATTCATACATTTATGCACATGTATTCAATTTATCTTGCTTTTGTTTATAATAATGTTTTAAATTGATTTTTTTAATATTCAATCATATGCAATCTTCTCAAATTACAGACAATAAATTCATCTGGGTCATTAACAAAGTTTTGTATTAAAATTATCTACTAGTATATATGGTCATAACACATCAATTTTTACATACATATATATACAAAAGAATATTTAGACAGATAACAAGAACAATTAATCTAGTAATTTTATCTTCATCTTTTTGTATTCATATTTTAAGAAGCAGGATAAATAGCATGAAAAACAGAAATAAGCAAGGAGGCTACACATAGAAAAAACTTAGAGAATAGAGAGTTATTTATTAGAATATAATTCATATGAAAATGTACCTAATTGCTATTAAATCCTCAGTGTCATTTGTTTATCAATTAATACATGTACATATACAAGTAACTTTCAACTGTCCGGGCTTCATCAGTTGGGAAACAGTTGAAATTCTTTAAAAAAAAAATTCTTTTAAATGAAGAACTGGTATGCATGCACCAAAAGTGTAGAAAAAAAAAAAACCAAAAAAACGAACAAACAACAACAAACAAACAAGAAGGAGGCCCATGGACCATACTCTCACCTCTGACAAGGACTTAATATGATTTAACTCAACTGGAATCAAGTCATAATGGGTACACTTCATTACAAATATGACTAAATTTTGACTCAAATATTACTAAAATGACCTTGCTATTTTGGAGAAAAAATGTTCTCAAAAGATTTTAATTCATTTGATCCCAATTTTAGCCACATCCTAAACTTTGAATCCATACTAATTAGATAAAAGATCCAAGAATCACCTGAGTAACCCTGATCCTGGGCTCTGAATTTCATAAATGTAATTAAAAACACCCTTTTATCAGTAGAACATTTTACTAAAGTTTGTCTGCTTATCTTATTTAAAGGCCTATGACACAAAGAAGAATAGAATTTCCAATCAATTAATACAATACTGGTAAATATATCATTACCTTTGGATTCACATTTAGACCAATGTTTTCGTACGCATTTGTTGTAATTCAATATTCATTAAATTTAGATCACTAAATTTATATTTTCTGTTTTGTATTCTTGATTAGCAAGACAAAATTTTCACGAATTGTGGTTATTGTTCTATATAATCTTAAGGAATACTTTTATACGCGACATTATTTTCCAAACACACTTTAACATTTGAAATTACGCGAAAATATTTTTCCTCGCGAAAAAAAGTGATTTACAGTATCATATACAGACATCCTGTAACAATTTTTGGTAAATAAGTATGTTTAATAAGCAATCTTTACAAAATCTTAAGACCAAGTTTTATCTATTATTAAGGAACGTCTCGTCTGTCCTTAATCCCCTTTACTCAAAAATGTTTTTGCCAAGTTTGGTTGATATTTTCCAGTTGTTCTGGAGAAGAGGGAAAAAGCCTACAATGACGACAATAGACACTTTTCAATCAGAAAAGCTCAATGCAACTTTTGGCTAATTATGTGAACTAAAAACAAATAAAAACTTGATAACATGTAAACTAGAGCTAAGTTCTCTCTGAACTACTTAAGTGAGGATATCATATGGAAAATTTGATATGCATTGGCAATAATATATTAACATAGGAAAGGACCTTCTTGTCACCTGAACAAAGGACTTGATCCTGAGATGGAGATAAATTTCCATAGGCACTGTCAGTTTAACAGGAAACCTAGTAACACTTGAGCATTGGCCTAAGGCAAAAGCCTATCTACCATTGCCAATCTGCTACTGGACTGACTTTATGCTCAAAGTGAAACAGGTCACTTTTTGGTCCTCTGTGGATTTGCATTCCTATGGTGAGTGGCTCCCATTCTCAGCTGGAAATCAAACCTAATGACACTTGAACACTGGCTAAGACAAAAGTCTATCTGCCATTGCCAACCTGCTACTGGACTGACATTTAATGCTCAAAGTGACATGGGTCTGTTTCCGGGTGGCTCCGTCCTTGCACACATGAAAAGATAAGAAAAAATATTAAAGGATCAATCACCCTCATTGCTATAGAAATGAATCATCTTCAAGAGTTCTTGAGTGAATTATCCAACATAATGTAAACCAACTTTTATTTTGGAGAAAATCGCAAACGAGACAGGAAATGCCGCAAACCGGTTCTTAAAATCTATGTGTCTGTTAAAAAGAACCTCCAATATTCGAAAATTAAGACTAACCCCCGGTATATAAGGTCGTCACGAATATATACTAGATTTACATACTACAGGAAATGCTAATCATTAACAAGCCTCCAATATTCTAGACTGTACAAATATTTTCCTACTGTTTTTGATGTTCAATTAAATCAAGAATTCCTCTTCTTGAAGTTTTTTTCCAACAATATAACCTTAGAATAATTTTTTTTTTAAAAATTCACAATGCATTTCATGTTTTTTAAATCCGAGTCTTAGTGACCATCATTATTTGTATCGGTATCCGCGACTCCTTTTGTGAATATCAAGACTTGAGTTTTCCCATCCTTTGTCTTGACTTTGATCCTTCTCCCCATCAGTGATGGTGGCACTCTCATCCACGGCTGCAGTCCCATCTGACCATTCACTCTGCAACAAGACAATGAAAATATCCATATTTATCTTGAGCTTATAATGTGATTATTATTTTTTTTAATTTTGTACTTATATAATGAAAAATCTCTATATGTGTAGAAATGTTAAAAAAAAGGATTGTAAAGACTTACTCAAACAATGGTTGTTCTGGTGTGCTAGGTAGCTGTGTAGAGGTGGAAGGGGCAGGGTGCACCAATCTCAAAGGAGGGTATGGGGCAACTGATGGTAAGGGTGTGTTTACAGGTGCTTCTAAAGGTGGCTGTGGCAAGTCTTGATGATTCAACAAACGTTCCTTTTCTTCTTCAGTTGGTTTTCTCAATGGAGCTTTTCTAGGTCTTACTTTTTTCTTTTCTGTAGTATGAAATCTAGGCTGTATAATATTATTGGCATTGCCTGAAATTTTCTCAGTCTCCTTGAGCTTCCCTGTGTCTTCTGAAAGGTTGATACATGCATCATTACCAGCAGCTATTGCTTGAAATGTCTGAAGTATTGTTTGAAATCTCATTTCTCTGACCTTTGGATGTTCCAGCTGACTATCAATTTGCTGCATAAGTTTCTTTATCTGCTTATATTGAGTTTCTGGATCAACGGGGGCATTTTGGGACTGAGAAGAGTCTTGCTGTGGGTTGACAAATAGTGTCTCATTAGATTCCCCACATTCATCCCCATTTCTGTAGCTTGTACACATGCTATGTACCTTATGAATATGTTTGCATAAAAAGCCATTGTCATTGTCAGGGCAGTTGCATTTATATAAATGATAACATAAATCAATGCATGGCATTTCCTTGCATTTAACATAACAATGCTCTAAATTGCAGTACCTATTCAAAATTTCAACTATATATTGCCTTTCTCCTGATTCTACAATGAAGAAACTTTCAGAAATTTGCTTTATTTCCCTGTCAGTAATATGTAGACTACTTTCATGCCTCTTTTGTGTATCTGAATCCTCTTTGGAAGGTAGATTATAAGAAACTCTTTTGAAATAATTGATAAATAAGTTATTCTCCAACTTCAACAAAGTTTCCAATAGGACATCAATTCTTTTGTTTCTTTTACCCTCAAAATAAACAGTTTTCAGTTGGTTATGAAAACTTTCAATGAACATGTTTGTATCAACCTTACAGTATTCACCTTTCCTGAAACACTTTGCCCATTTCTCTGCTCTGCAAAAATAATTATCTTCCATGTATTTCAAAAAAGTTGGATTTAGTGATTGCAGTTTGGCAATAAAAGCAGATTTGTATTGAAGAAACTGGCTCTCAGATTTAGCTTCTAACATAGCACATAGAAAACTAAAGGCAATACTTTTGTGTTCATCATCTCTAAAGTAGTGTTGAACATTGCGTGTCCATGACCTATAAATATGCCAAGTGCACAAATAATGCTGTAATTTGTCCCCAAAAGTACACCTTGCAGCATTCCATCCTGCATTGTCATCATCTGTCATTAAGATATTGACCTGCGTTTCAGGTGACCTTGACTTAACAGAATTTAAAAACAGAGCAATGGCTGTTTCATCCTCCCTATTAGAAATGCAAAATGCCACTGGGTAACCTTTCCTAAACTGATCTGGAACCAAAAGTGTTATCAATTTAAAGGAATAGCTATTTGTTTTATGTGTTGAATCCATGCATAATATTCTATTGGCAAACTTTTGGTAAATTTCCAGTTGCTGTTTGGTCATGAAAGCAAGCATAAAGTCCTCTTTTCTCAGACCTGGTGTTACTGACGGGTTATTATCAATATCCTGCTGCTTGAAAATTAAAATCGGGTTAAATTTTTCTCTTTTGAGCATTTCAACTTTTAAATATGTAGAAATTGCATCATTGCTATGTTGTATAATTGATGGATCTGCCAATTTCCTTTTTAAGTTGTGGATTGTTTTCCGATCAATTAAATTGTAATATTTGATATCCTCCAGGTTGTCTCGATTATCCCTGTCAGAAAATTTCTCTCGAATTTTGTCTAATATGTTGTTGATCGGTATTTTAAGGGACAACATACCTAATATTTCTGATTTAATACTTTCCGGAATGGACATAAATTTGCTGTGTTCAAAGGACAAAGAATGAGTATGGGATTTTATGTACCTTACGTAGACCTTTCCATCTTCCCTTTCTCGTACAGAAAACCTTGCTGGACAAATGCTATTCAACTGGCACTTTCCCTTTATATTTTTCTTAGAAGATTTAACTTGGTATCCCTTTTTTTTATGTGACCTTGTACAACCATTTCTGTGGCATTCAAGACAGTACACTCTTTCTTTCTTTTTGTTCTGTTGCACCTTATTCCTTAACACATAACGTGTGTTTAATGATATTTCCTCCTGTTCTTTAAATTTATTAAAATCCTCCTTAGTTTCAAAAATTAGGTTTTCTGTTAAAATATTTGCCCCATGTGCCTGAATTTCATGCTCAACTAACTGTTCTTTTGTTCTAAATTGCAAGAAGCATGTTGATGCCATACATGGATACAAATCCTTACCTGGCTTTTTCAGAAGTTTCTGATGGTGTTTAGCCTTGTGCTTTCTAAGTGTGACAGAATTGAAAAATGAAACTTTGCATTCCGAACAAACATATTTTTTCTCTGCTAATGACTGTGCAGGCAGTTCTGGCTTGGTATAGCTATGTAGCTCTGATATATGACCTTTACCTGGAGTTGCAGACTTTTCATTAGAATACATTCCTCTTAAACCATATTTCTCTTTACCTAAAAGTGTCACATCTGCTGGTTTGGAAAAAGGGGTACTTTTTGTCCATGGCTTTGTGTGGAGATTGTTCTGATTGCCAGTAACAGGATACGAGGGTGGAGCTGAAGCCTCCTGAACTTCCATGTCTGCAACTGCTTCATAATGACCTCCACCATATCTACTCCATATTATATGAATCTGGTTTTGTGTAGGATCAGCAGTGAAAGTATTTTCCATGGTTGTGACTTCAGAGGAGGAATCATCTCCACCAAACGTAACCAGAATGTTGATATTTAAAGCTTTTGCCAATGCATATATACATTCCTGTCCTGCATAAGTTCCAAGTTGACCTAATCTTTGAAGTTGCTCTAAAGGGGTTCCTCTGTCTGATAAAAAATAATCTGAAAACTCTTCAAGATTAGCCCTTAAAGTTTCAATAGCCAAATTTCTGAGATATGCATGACTATCCTGATGACCATAGAGAGAGAAACTAATAGCTCTAAACAAACAATTTCCATCGCCTACAATAGGAATACGATGGAGTCCAAATCTGGAAAGATACCTATCCTGGTGCTGAACCTCCGTGTCCAACATGTAGTGTGCATTAATTATGTCATTAAAATTGAAGCCCTAAGATTACAAGTTTTCATCATAAATGATACATTAAAAGCTGTTGTAATTTTGCATTCACAACAAGAAGTCTGTGAGCCAATGCTCACTAGAGTACATGTAATACCGACCCCCACTCTGATGTGAAAATATTCATGCTGACGGAATCATGGATTAATAAAAAGTTGACATCAAATTTCTGTGAATTCCACTATGGTATATGACAAGCCTAAACAAAGATGTGCTTAATTTCATTCAACTGCAATGAATAGTTGCTGAGAAAGCTGCAGCAGAATGGACAGCCATATCGAGAAACAGGAAGCTGACATCAGAATATTTCCATTTCTAATTTTTTCTCTGTGATACCTCTTTGAAAGTTACAGGAGTTTATTTCTTGATAATTCGGCCGGAATGTAAATTAGGCAGGTCTATAGGTCCGGAGCTAAGGAGGCCTAATATGCATGCAAATCTCGTGCGCATCTGTCTCTGTGTCTGACGCTATGGAAGCCAAATATGCATGTAAATCTCGTGCGGCTGCCTTTGTGTTTGACGTCAGTGGGCGAGGACTATTGAAATTGGCATGGAAGTCCTCGTGTAATTTAAATCCATTAGTTTACATTTTTAATCCATTAGTTTACATTTTTAAAGTGTAAATCTACAATTTTATTTCACAATGAAATGGAAATATAAGGAGTCAATGTCTAGTTAGTGTAGTATGCCAGGGACATCAACGATAGTGGGAAACATGGGATAATTTATGCAAAACGGGCTTCGCCCGTTATGCAAATTATCCTATGTTTCCCACTATCATTGATGCCCCGGCATACTACACTAACTAGACAGTGATTCCTTAATTCATACAAAATTGAATCCCACTATATGACACACAAACAGACACACTAGGGCATAACAGTATACCCTTCTCCTTCAGAGCTAGGGTATAAAAACAATTTAGAATGAGAAGGGTTTAAAAAATAACAATAGGCTTATGGGCCACATCACTCACCTGAGAAACATTTGATATGCTATTCTTGACCAGATTTCCCCTTTGCAATAGCTATTGACACCCTCCCTACATCCAGAGGTCATAATTTAGAGAATGTTAAATCTACACTATCCCAGGATGCTTCCACACAAGTTTCAGCTTTTCTGTCTCAGTGGTTCTTGAAAAGAAGATTTTTTAATGACCCCACTCTATTTCTGTCTTTTCTTGATTATCTCCCCCTATAAAGGCACATGCCCCTTCATTTTAACTTTAAACTCCCCTTCACCCAAGGATGCCTTGTACCATGTTTGGTTAAAATTGACCCAGTGGTTCTTGAGAAGAAGTTGAAATGTGAGATGTTTACAGACAGATGGACGAACAGACAGCTAGACAGACGGATGGACGACAGACAACGGGTGATTAGAAAAGCTCACTTAAGCTTTCAGCTCAGATGAGCTAACAACAAATGTTAGTGAAACACTTAATTATGCCTCCCCCTTCTTTTTCTAAGACCAAGGGGCATAACTCTGTCAAAAATTACTCGATCATACTAAAAACAGAACATGACCTAGATATTCTTTTAATAAATCTGTTTTTCAAATTTCATTTTAGTATGTGCAACCTCTGCAAAGAAAATGGACAGCCCAAAACTGTTGGTGGACTGACAGACTGACCAACCGACAGACAGCAGCAAAGTAATATGTCCTCCCTTCTTCGAAGGGAATATTATAAATTTACAGATTAGCAAACATAGAGAGTACAACACTTTACAATCACATAATATTTTCTAGGGGGGGATTAATTAATATGTATCATTTTCCTTCAAATTACAAACTATAAGGAGGATCTAACTGTCTTGTTATCTTGTTATAGACATCAAAGTTTTCCATTGACATTTTTGAAAAGTAATAAAGAGGAAAATTAACATTGAAAAGATTTTTTTTAACTCTCATAACATTTAGATTTTTCAGGATGATAAAACTATTATGGGCTTTTCAGTTGGGAGACAAGACAAATAATCAGTTCTGAGTAGGGGTTTCATCATTGGACATAAAAGAGCTGTCTTGTGTCAACCCAACTCACACCTCATTATTTGTCTCATTCATAATATTTTCTTATGACTTAACACTACAAGAAAAGCCTGTTGCCCAATCTATTCAGTTTATACTGAAAAAATACATGTATTGTTTAAATCAAGAAAAGAAGGGAAACCTTACATCAGTCATATCCTCTGGGACTATTTCTTCCAAAACCATATTGTCAATCTGAAAAGAAAACAAGAAATATTTTATGTTGTTTAACTGAATTTACCAGAACTGAATTAATAAATATATGTGATGTCTTTTTTATTTAGATCACAACAAAAGCTGGCTATGAGAGATTTATAGCCATTTATTTGGAGAGAAAAAGACACCCCCCCCAAAAAAAAATATAGACAGAGTTGTGTATGCGGGATGACAAAGAAATTCTGTATTAGATGAGAAAGATTGTAAAAGGATGACTTAAATACATGTACTGCAGTGGCACATAAAGACAAAAAGCATAACAAAACTAAACAAGAGGCCCAGGGGCCACATCGCTCACCTGAGCAAATCGGCTAAGAAAAGGCACAAATCAGAACTGAAAAGTTTACTGAAAGGGGGGGGAGGGCTTGAATTTTAATACTACTTGAGAATGCCTTCATATTAGTACAGCATATGACTTCACTGTTCTTGATAAAAAGATTTTTTAAAATCATTTTCTTCCTATATATAACTTCATAATAATTTGAATTTGATTCCCCATTGTTTCCCTCCCTACCCCAAAGGACCATGATTTGAAAAAAATTATGTTTTCAATACATGAGGATGCATACATGTCAATATAATTAAACATAGCTTTTCTGTTCTTGCATGGGATTCTTCACTTTATTTTTCTATGTAAAACTTTGATCCATCATTGTGGTCCCACCCTACCCTGGGGGCTATGATTTGTACAAATTTTATTCTACACTACCCGAATATGCTTCCTATATATAAATCCTTCTATCACTAATCATGGCTTTGCTATTCTACAGAAGAAGATTTTTTAAAATATATTTTACTCGGTAATGTAAATTTAAAATTGGATCCCCCATTGTGGCCCCACCCTATCCCCCAGGGGTCATGATTTGAACAAACTTGAATCTAAAATACCTTAGGATGATTTCACATGAGTTTCATCTTTCCCGGCACAGTGGTTCTTGAGAAGAAGATTTTTTAAAAATGACATTAATTTTTCACTAATTCATAATTATCTCCCCTTGGAAGAGTGTGTGGTCCTTCATTTGAACAAATTTGAATCCCCTTCACCTAAGGATACTTTGTGGCAAGTTTGGTTGAAACTGGCCTAATGGTTCTGGAGAAGAAGATGAAAATGTGAAAAGTTTACGACAACGATAACGACAGACAACAGACAAATTTTGATCAGAAAAGTTCACTTGAGCCTTCAGCTCAGGTGAGCTAAAAACTATAATTATTAGCTTGATCATACGCCAAGATACATAAAACAAAATGAAATTACTCGGACAACTATTTGTTGTTCATTGCATTAAAAGCCATTTGTCTTCAAAACATTTTTTTAATTTTCATACCTCCATATCAATATCCAGATTTGTATTATTCGGAGTTTCCATCAGAGAAAAATTTCCATCAGCTGAGAGGGGACCATTGATATCCTGAAATGTATGCAGGTTTTTATGATAACCTTAAAGGTGGAAATAATTCTAACGTTTCATGGTCATAAGATAACACAAGATCCCCATTAAAAATAAAAATTTAAGTAATATCATAACCATATTTAATAGGAAAGGAGAAAATGTATGGCTGGACTGGGAATCAAACCTGGGTCCCCTGCACTACATTGAACAGAGTCAGGTGCTCTACCAACTGAGCCATCAGGCCGATTATCCACGCCCAAACCATTACACATATATCATACTACTAACACTATGCACATGCATTTTCAAAGAAAAAAAGTATTTTTTCCTTTTTCGTTTTTGTATATATATTTTACATTACATAATATTCTATGATGCATGCTAACCTTATAAAAAGGCTTAAATGGAAAAAATTAAATTTAATGAAGAAAAAAAGATTATTTCAGTGAATCAAAATTATGTTGATTACCTGGCCAGTATTTAGCTGGGGAGTGCTCAATCCCTTCAGTACCTTGTTGTAAAATAATTATGAAATACTGGTTTAATACTCTAAATAACTTGTCAAAATTATGTGAAAAATAAAATTATTAGTACAAGTACTTAAGCCTTCATCTTTAATCTTCTTTAAAAAATATTTTTTTTAATTCTTTTCCATGTAAACAAACATCTGCACCTTTGTCAAAAGTTGATAATGCTGAACTGTTCAATTTCATTGATTGATGATGTCAACTTTAAGCTACACACTAGCTAATTTAAGTTTATATCCATTACATGCATACCAGTAATAAAAATAGATTTACAAGTATAATTCAGTGTTTTCCCTTAGAACAGGCTACTGGCCAAATTCACTGCTTCAAATGACCAAAATGCCACTTCAAAATAAATATTTATTTTTTTTAGGTCCATAGAGATTTTGTTCAGAGCCTGTTACAACTGATCTCTAACCCTTTAATTTGAAATAAATGGAAAACACAGATAATTTCACAAAGTTTGAGATGTTTGTTAAAATATGGTAAAAAGTGTTTAGAATGTATTTATAAATATCAAATATGATAAAACTTGATCTTGTCAGGTAATTTCCATAATAGCAACTTACATCAAAGGAAAAGTAGTCATGGTCATCTCCTGCATTATAAATGTTTGTACTGTATGCAAAACTCAAGCTCATTATAAGGACCTGAAGAGAAAGGTATAATTGTATTTACTATGTTTATAATGATAAACTTGAAAGTAACAATTAACTGACAGAAATCTTTCCCAGACTGAAACTATTTGCCCATGAAATATAGTACATACACATCCTGAAGGGGGCAAAAAAGATATTTTTTATAACACAAATTTTCAATATATTTCTGGTTAGTGGATCTTTGCTCAATTTTTTTGGTTCAAATTTTCATCCAAAAATTTGCATATTAAAAATATATATTTTTTGGTAAACAGATACATGGAGCAAAGACCCACCATGTCTTAAAAATACAAATTTGTATGAGTATGACACAACATTCACATCTTTTCAAGAAATAATTAAAGTTCCTTCAATTATATTAGTCAGACCTTTACCATATTTATCAATATTGATAAAAATAAATTCATCAATTTAATATTACTTTTGAAAGGAACTTGATGAATTTTTCCCATGAAAAAAATATCAAATATGTCTTATACTAAAAAAGTTAAATCTTTGCTTTAATCGCCATTGTCCAGGAGTATTGAAAATATTTTTAAAAATGTATTACATTAACAAATGATTGCATACTATAGCATAATTATTTTACAAGTGATGGTATGATTTTATTATGATTATGTGTAACCGCACTGTCCGCACATTATATACCTGTCCAGAATATTATTTTAATATATGAACAATAAACGAAATTTATAATATGTTAATGAAATTGAATTGACTTTTCATTTAAATGTAGAATGTACTATGCCATATTTGTCACCAATCTTTTCTTCAATGTTTTACCAAATAATCTTTCCTCAGTATTTCACCAAGAAATCTTTTCATCAATCATCACCCCTCCCTGGCTCTTCATACTACCGTTAACAGTTTAACAGGCTTGTAAAAGGCAGGGTGGTGGGTGGGGTGTCCGATTTCTTTTTGGGGATTTTTTTCTTACATGTTTTAGGCCTACTATGTGAATAACAGAATTTTCGGGGGGGGGGGAATTAAAAGGCTTTATTTAGTTTACTATTCAGTGAAAAATACATATTTGTATAAACTTTACTTTTTTATTCGATGGAATCAAATGTTTCGATCAAGTTGACATACTTTCAATGAAATGTAGCTTACCTCATAGTTTGTCATTGAATAGTTGACTGCCAAGGTTAACATTCTTTTTTATAGATGGTATCAAGCAAAATACATGCATGATTTATAGTGAATAATACATATTGTTACCGGATAAGAAGTGATTTTTATAGGAATTATTCACTTACAATCAGGTTGAGAACAACGCAAATCGAGGTCTTCGAAGATACCGCCATTGTTGACTAAGTTAATTCGATCGGGTTTGATCTGAGGTTTAGATGTCTGCGCATGCGTACTTTAACTTCCGGAGTGCCCACTCCAATTCAGGTCAATTGTATCCCACCAATTTTAGATGGTAAGATATGTGTCACTAACTAGGAATCGAAATGATAAATCCCATTCTGTCCTCCGGAAGCTTCGTGTGAAATAAATACTTCCTGTTTAGTTTACCCTTTCGATCCTCGGAGATCAAGTTAACTCATCAAGAATTGAATTGAATTTTTCACGTGATAGTTTAGGGTATATAAGCAGCGATATCAGAGCTCTAAGTCAGTTCCAGACTGAAGTCGACACCAGTAAGTTGTTTCCAGTGAAGGTGAGAAACGTAAACTTGCTTAACAAGTCTTATGTGCCTGAATAAGGCTTTCGAGACTGTTGTATTTATTTTGCAAGTTGGTAAATATTTTTTGTTTGCTTAGCTAGGAAGCGCACGTGCTCCAGGACAGAATAGGATATTGTATATATTGTTAATTAAAGTACTTGATTGAGAAGTTTTATAATTATTTGATTTATTCCTTAAAATGCTCAGGCAGAGCAACCGAATCTTCGAACCCAGAAACGTTACATAAATTTGGTGGCAGCGCGTTGAGATTCGGTAAGGAATATTTTTTCTATAATCAATTGTTAAATCATTTTGAAATCATTATGGACGAGATGATAGATGAGGAAATTTCATTCCTGGAAAAGAGCTGCGAGAAACTGCGCAAAGAAATAGAGAAGTACTCGACGCCTCTAGATAAACGTGTGCGAGCGCGCGATTCGGGGATTGCGACCATGGTAGGTGCAAGTGGAGGCCAGGGTCATCCATATTCATCTTGAATAGATGAAACGGTAATGCAACAGAGTAGTGAGCAGAGTGGATCCGCCACCGTGGAAAGTACAAACACGAATCATGTTACCATGAGGCCTGCAAAAGTGAAAAAGAAAAGGGACAGAGATGATACTGAACTGGCGGATGCGATGTTTAATTACTCTTTAGGTGAGGATGAACATAGAGTAATCGTGGATGCACAGCAGACAGCGAGCGCGCCGTCAGAAGCGATTGCGCTACGACCTAGCAGTGAAACACCGCGCCTTTCATCAAAAGCACATCTTCATCCAGTTCATTTGCTGAATAACACTCTTGCGCATTCTCCTTTTGAATTTCCACGGGGTGTGCAATCGCGAGTACCACCGGTAGAACAAAATAAAATTAAGCCTCCTGCGCAAAGTAGAAATGATGAATTACCTCACGGGGGTCGGGAGAGCGTTTACTTCAGAGACAACCCTTTCTTGATGCAAGAGGAAAATATCAGAGAGGAAAAGGCTGCAAAATGTAACATCAAACCTGCAACGTTTGACGGTAGTCATTCCTGGCTGGACTATCAGTCCCATTTTGAAGCATGCGCTACCATTGACAACTGGTCAGAGAAAGAAAAAGGTCTTTACTTAGCTGTTTCGCTAAGAGGAACTGCGCAGGGTGTTCTTGGAAACGTTTCAAAAGAAACAGGACAGCAATATAATTTGTTGGTCAAGGCCCTTGAAGAACGCTTTGCGCCGCCAAATCAGACTGAGCTATACCGTGCGCAGTTGAAGGAAAGAAAACAAAGAGCGTCTGAGACATTGTCTGAACTGGGACAGGCTATTCGTAGATTAACTTGTTTAGCTTATCCTACAGCACCATCGGAAGTAAGAGAAACACTGGGGAAGGACGCATTCATTGATGCATTAGTCAACTCAGATATGCGATTACGCATCAAGCAGAGTAGACCTGGAAATCTTAATGATGCTATTCGGCTTGCGGTTGAGTTAGATGCTTACTATAAAACAGAGAGGCGAGGAGATTTGCGAATGATTGAGGGTGTAGGACGCGACCATGTTAAACCCGCACCGCCATTAGAACTAATAGACCTGATGACAAAGATGCAAACCCAGTTGGATAGATTGGAAAAACAGGTTAGAGATCAAAACCAGAGACCAAGGAAATACACATCGCAGTTGACAGACAAGAAAACAAGTGATGGAGTGACTTGTTATTATTGCAAGGAAAAGGGGCATATTCGTCGGAATTGTCCTAAACTTAAAAATAAAGACACAAATAAAAATAATAATACCCCATCAAAGAGCTTAGCTAGTGGGAATGCACGGCGAATCCGTAGTAAGCGCCGGAGAAATCAACGTAGGATGCAAGGACACGTAGGTGGAAGCACCATGAGTACTGAGGCTGGAATTTTTATTGAGGCAGAGGTTAATGGTACGTCTGCAAAAGTGTTAATCGATACAGGGGCTTCATTGACATTAGTCTCAAGGAGGGTGCATGATATGATAACGCAAGAAAAGCGACCTGAGTTGGAAAACAGTGCACAGAAAGTTTTAAACGCAAGTGGAAATGCACTTTCACATTATGGAAAAGCAGATTTTCAGATCAGAGTAGGGCAATTTGAAACAACTATTCCAGCTATGGTAACAGACATCACAGTAGATGGTATCCTTGGCCTAGACTTTTTGAAGAAAGGTAATGGTATTATGGATCTCAACAAAAACACGCTAAGACTGAACAATAAGGACTACCGCATTTCTTGTGAAGGAACCATAGGTTGTTACCGTGTCGTTGCAGCCGAGGACATTTGTATTCCCCCAAGGAGTGAAGTAGTTACTGTGGCTAAAATTCCAGTGCAGAATACATTTGGAGGCTCAGATTACATAGTCGAGCCAGATGCAAAATTTCTGGAGAAGGGTCGTGCGCTGGTTGGCCGAACATTTGTAAAAGGTAGCGACACTGTGCCTGTGCGACTTATGAATATTACAGATGTAGCCCAACAGATATATAAAGGAACAATGATTGCGAAAATGACAGCTGCTGATGAAGAGAAAACACAAGGGACATCAAGAGAAACAAACGTAGGACTCCGATCTGACGTTCAAGAGCTACTTGACAGATGTAAGAAAACTCTTTCAAATGCACAAGCCTTGCAAGCTGAAAAATTCTTGCATGGATATCAACATTTGTTTGCAACTTCAAATTTTGATCTGGGTCGAACTACAGTTGTTAAAAAGAGAATCCAAACTAACCCTACAGAGAAACCCATTAAGCAAGGAGCACGGAGAATCCCGTTACATATGTTACAAGAGGTTGATAAACACGTGAATGAAATGATTGAAAATGACGTAATAGAACCCTCAAATAGCCCTTGGGCTTCACCTGTAGTTCTAGTGCGTAAGAAAGATGGGTCGATGCGCTCCTGTATTGATTATAGGCGACTAAATGCAGTAACAGTAAAGGACGCATATCCCCTCCCAAATATAGAAGAAGCATTTGACCACTTGTCCGGACATGCCTTATTCTCTACGCTAGACCTCAATAGCGGATACTGGCAAGTTGCCATGGAGGATGAGGACAAGAGTAAAACAGCTTTTGTAACACGCAAAGGTCTCTTTCAGTTTAAGATGATGCCTTTTGGTCTCACCTGTGCGCCTGTGACCTTTGAATGTTTTGATGGAGACGGTTCTTGCAGGTCTCCAGTGGGAAAAATGCCTGGTATATCTCGATGATATAATAGTAATTGGAAAATCATTCGAAGATATGCTCAGCAATCTTGAAAAGGTTTTCGATAGACTGCAAGGGGCAGGTCTTAAGCTGAAAGCAAGAAAATGTCACCTGTTTGCCACAAAAGTCTTATACTTAGGTCACATCATTTCAAAAGAAGGCATTGTGACAGACCCAGAAAAGATCAAAGCTGTTGTTGAATGGCCTGGACCTTCAAGCGTATCCGATGTTCGTTCCTTCCTCGGGTTATGCAGTTATTATAGACGTTTCATTAAAGATTTTGCTATGGAAGCAAAACCTTTGCACCGTCTTACAGAGAAAGGGCGTAAATTTCAATGGACAAAAGAGGCACAGGATGCATTTGAAACTCTTCGGAACAGATTGATCTCTGCGCCGATATTGGCACTACCAGACGTATCTTCACCTTTCATTCTGGACACAGACGCGAGCAATCACTCTATAGGTGCCGTGCTTTTCCAAGAAGTATCTGGAAAAAAACGAGTGATAGCTTATGCCAGCTGCACATTAACAAAAGCAGAGAAACGATACTGTGTGACAAGGAAAGAGTTATTAGCTGTCGTTCACTTTATAAAACACTTTCGCCATTATCTTTACGGAAGACAATTCCTTCTTAGAACAGACCACGGATCTCTTAGGTGGCTACTCAACTTCAAGAACCCAGAGGGCCAATTGGCAAGATGGCTTGAGGTTATTAGCACCTATGACATAAAGATAGAGCATCGCCCAGGTCGAAAGCATGGGAATGCGGATGCTCTTAGTAGAATTCCGTGCACACAGTGTGGATTTGACCCTAACTGGGAAGACGAAAAACCTAACTTGTCAGTGAGATCGGTGCAGTCATCCACAAAAGTAACAAACGAAGAATGTGATATTGAAAATAAAAGTCTGTTAGAAGCACAAAAGGCTAACAAAGATATTCAGCTAGTGCGCCAGTGGGTGGAAACAGGCAATCGACCTTTATTTGCTGATGTTTCTCAGTATGGTTACGTGGTTAAGTCACTATGGAATCAGTTTGAGAGATTGAGCATTCGAGATGACTTCCTAGTGCGACAATGGATTTTACTCCCCTCAAATCGAGAAACATTTCAAGTTATAATACCAGATTCAGAGAGGAGAAATGTGTTAAATATGTGCCATGATAATTAAACATCAGGACATCTTGGTGTAACAAAGACGTTAGCCAGAATAAGACAGAGATATTACTGGCCGGGATTACAAAGGGATGTCCATCAGTATATTGCAGGATGCGATACTTGTACAAGAAGAAAGAATCCCATTCCTAAAAGACGGGCTCAAATGCAGATCGTTGCATCTGGCGTGCCTATGGAGAGAATAGCGTCAGACATTTTGTGTGAATTACCGGAAACCGACAGAGGGAATCGTCATATTCTCGTCGTGTCGGATTATTTC